AGAAAGAAAGAAAGAAAGAAAGAAAGAAAGAAAGAAAGAAAGAAAGAAAGAAAGAAAGAAAGAAAGAAAGAAAGAAAGAAAGAAAGAAAGAAAGAAAGAAAGAAAGAAAGAAAGAAAGAAAGAAAGAAAGAAAGAAAGAAAGAAAGAAAGAAAGAAAGAAAGAAAGAAAGAAAGAAAGAAAGAAAGAAAGAAAGAAAGAAAGAAAGAAAGAAAGAAAGAAAGAAAGAAAGAAAGAAAGAAAGAAAGGAAGGAAGGAAGGAAAGGAAGGAAGAAGTTTAAGGATCTAAATTTTATCTAGAGTAAGAGTTTAAATCCTTTGTCTGTGGATGTGGGATCTTTATTACATGTTTGCTGTCTGTTCTTGGAAAGTGAAAACAGCCCTTCTCCATGTAAGACATATGCCATGAATATCACTTCTTTGAAGTTTGCAAGATCCTTAACTGTTATAGCAATTTGATTCATAAGCATATTAATAGAAAATATATTTTTTCAAAAAATTTAGAAATTGAGAAATGTAGCTTAAAATGCTTAGATAAATAACAACCTCCTATGTGAGTATTCCAATATTATAATAGTAAACAACCAGTATGATCACTTATGGTCACAGGAGATACATTACCTTTTCAGGATGTCTGGATTATCATATATGAGGTAACTACGACCAATGAATTGTGGGATTTCAATTGCTTCTGTAATGGCTGAAATGTATTAAAAATAAGATGCATGTTAGCTGTCGAAAGGAAGGAACGAGAGACTGTTTTGTTGACTTACTTCCACATCAACAGGTGGCCCAGAACCCAGTTGAACTTGCTCACAATGGCTTCCAAAAAGGCACTGCTAGTTTCTATGTAAATGCAAGGGTAGTAGCTGACGCAGGTCAAAGTATTGACTTCATGCCAAGGGCCTAATGTATTACTCCACCATAAACATCACTGTAGGAAAAGATGAAGTACTGGGAAAATGTGGCAGTTTTTTTTTCACTCCCTGTTATGACATTCCTCCACGGTGGCCCTAGCACCTCTAACAGCAGCGCAGATAAAGGATAGTTCTGGGAGGACATCCAAGCTGCCTTTCATCATTTTATGCCTCCTGAAAGCAAATGACACTATTCCAAAGGCTGCTGACAGAATGCACAAAGCCTCTCAACTGATGCAATCATCATGCACAGCAGTGCTGTCCAGGAGGGGTGAGTATGTGTTGCTCACTGATGCTCCCACAACACCTCACCAGAGACAGCCCATAGCACAGCTGTGTTGTGCAGTCCCAGTCCTTGCTGCAAGGTCAGCATGCACCATAACCAGTGCTGGAGATGGAGCTTCCCATTGGGAAAACTTTGATTTGTGATGCAAATCCTTGAACATCCATGACACAGAGTGTGCGGCAAGTGTGAGCACTGCCTTGAGGAGACTTTATTTTGAGTGAGCAGCCTATAGCTAGCTGCTGAGCTCTCGTGACTGCCTGTTGCATAAATATAAACCAATTTCATAAAATCAATAAAATAGCTAACTTCATCCTATTTTCCTCTTGAGAACTAATCCCCTCAATCCATTCCTAATCCCATCCATATAAATTGCTCACTTTTCAGAGCATGGATGCACACTCTCTTTGTACAAAACTGAGTCTGGCTGGGCTTTAAAAGTTCACTGTGACACAAAGCAATTGCTGTAGTCTGGCAGCCAACAACAGCAATAAAAAATTGAGCTCTTGGTTGCAAAGGGTGAGAATTTTAGGTAGTGACAAATGTCTGTTTCCATCCTTAGCGAAATCAGGAAAGCTGCCTAATGTGTCTAAAGAAACCGCTACAGCCTGCAGCCTGCCAGAACTGTTGGAAGACATGAGAAATGTGTTATGCACATTCAGATGCTGCCCACTTGGTCTTTCTGCACTGGACAGCCTCTGACCATACTGGAAGATTGCAAAGGGTGTCAGGAGCCCTTCTCCCTCTACTCTATTCTGTGCTGGTCCTACCGCCTTGCTGCTTCTGCCTTCAGCAGGAGAAGGGGCTAGTGCCATGCACAGCCCTTGACCTCACTCGGGTTTCCTCTACAGAGAAAAGCCTTGTGGATGTTTATCTCTTCTTACTCTTCACTATTCTCTTCACCTGTTGCACAGTATGTAACTGCAGAAAAACGTGTGAAGTTAAGCAGTACTTTGATACATGCAAGATCTTTGCAAATGGAAGAGAGTAGGATGAACAAGATGTCATAACAAACACCCTCACTCCCAGCTCATCACTATGCTGTTGGTTGGCACCGGAGCTCTCAAGCAGGGGTGAAGTCTGAACAACTACAGCGCAGCATGAGGGAGCACCTAGAGCTGCAAAGCACCTGCTGCCTCTACTGCTTTGCAAATGCAGGGACCAGCTCTGCAGCCACCACACTGTACTCGGCAGGTGCTCTGGATACAGTTTCAAATGTCAACAGGACAAGGCTGAAGGAAGTACAGTATAATGCTAGAAAATGTTTTGGCTTATTGACAGAAAATTGCCAGACTTAATGGCAATCCGGCATTCAGCTTGCTAAAGCAGACACAGGCACATAATGACAGAGAAGTTTTCGTATCATTTGCAGTACTTACTGTTGAGGCAGTAATTTCCACACTCTGCAGTGAGTAAGCAAAAAAAAAAAAAAAAAACAAAACAAGAACATTCTGGTTTTATTTTTCTATGGCATAATTTTCTCCCATTCAGTGGTCATCTACTTTCACGCCCACCTCTCATGCACAGGCATGATACCCACTTCCCGTTTGCATATGCAAGTATAATCACCTATGAAGGCAGCACACATGAGTGTTTTACCTCAACTATACATATTTGCCTGCCAGCCCAAGACACATAAAGATGCAGTTAGATAGGACAAGCACCAAATTTCTCTGCTGTTTTCAAGTATTAGCAACTCCCCATGGCTTATGCAGGGATCAACACTACACAGAGCATAGTGACAATTCACTGTTCTCTTCCATTTTGCAAGTATAAATAACCTTAATACTTATCACAGCTTGGACAGAAAATATAAATTGCAGTAATATCCCAGTAATGCTCTGTTGAATTCTCAGTCAATGATCCACTACAGCATCCAACTTGCATCTCATATCAAAACCATTTGAGTTTTTCAAAGTATGTATACCACTTTGGAGAAGGAGGCACAGTACCACACAAGCACTTTGTTTTTTCAGTGCCTGGAGTTACAGCAAGCAGGATAGAGTCTGCGCTGCCAGCCTTTCTTGCAGGGGCTGAGTGCACTAACCAAAGCCCTGTGCTGAAATAGTAGTGTCCATGCATATGCATGCTGCTTCAGCTTTGTCTACAGCCTACTGACGAGACACTGGTAATGGTAATTCTGAGAAATTTACACTGAGTTCATAAGGGTTGCTCTGGATAGAGGTGCAGGAGGAGGGCTTTCTGCACTCTCTGCACATCCATGAACACATGCCCCAGCTGCAAGCCATTCTCTTGCCTTAGCTCACTCTGGAGACCTGGGACTGCTCAGATACCATCTTGATGCCAGGAGTGCAGCACTCGGCAAAATCACAATTCTTCCTCCTCCCCACTGAGAAGCTGGGATAAATGACGCTGCTCCTGCTATTAGCTAGACCGCAATAACGTAAGCGAAGGGGTTTCTTGCATTGTTTTTTAATAAATGTTTTTGTTCTAAGACATTGTCTTTCTGTGGAAGAAAAGGTCAATCTATTCATCATGATTTAACCAAAGCAACTATTTTTTACTTTGATGTTTATGCCTGTGATAAATGAAAGAGTGGGTGAAGACAATAATGTCACTCAGCTCTTTTTAACTTAGTTTGCTATTACACAGGAAAGCATTTCCTTAGGGATTTTTCAAGACAATTCTGATGGAAGGGAAATACCTCCACCTAGTGGAATCACATTTATTCCTTTATTCAAGGTTATTCATGCAATGTGGACGTTTTCCTGAGTCTCAGAAGTGAAATACTGCAGTGGCTCCGAGGAAAAAAAAACTACGTGTGCCTAGGCAGGCTCTCCTCCTTGGTGGTCTCCATTGCTATACTAAGGCAGGATCTGTGCAGATGTTGAAACTGCTGAGTAGTAATGTCTATTAAAGGATTAGTCTTTTCTGAATATGAGAGCAGAGTTTGTCATTAGTACTGGGGAGGATTAAATTACAAGGGTTATCCATCCTCGTGCTTCAGAATGTAAAATAATCCCTGGCTGAAGGACAGTGGCAGGAACTGCCCCTTTATATAGTCTGTGTAACCAGGGAGGTGGGAGATATATGAAGTATTCAGTGCTGAGCACTGCAAGCGATCAGATAGCGGGCTGCTGTCTATGAATTATTGTTCCTTGCTGGAATAACAGTTATGATGTTCCTAAATAACAAAATGAATTCTTCCCTGAGTACACAGAACGTGCATGAATGCAAAGGGAGCCCTGTCCTCCAGGATTTCTATTTCAAGAAATGTGTGCAACAATTGTAGGTGTTAAATCTCTCCCTGTTTTTGCAAACAATTCTCAACTGAGATGCAGCCATTATTACCTTTCTGGCAATGCTGTCCATCAAATCCCAGGGGACAGTCACATTCATAGCTGTCTTTCTTGGGAACACAGCTGCCTCCATTTGCACATGGAGAGCCCACACAGGGGTGGGCAGCATTTACTAGGTTGACTCCAAAAGTGAAATCCTGTTTCACATCAATTGTTCGGTCATTCAAGATAATCTAGAGGTTAAAAAGAAAGAAATGGAGGAAGAAAAAAATACTTATTGAAGTCTTAAAGGCTTTTCATGTTGCACTGCTAGTCAGAAGACTTCTCTGTAAGACTTCAGAGAAAGGTAATCCTTGAAATATGGCCAACAATCTGTTTCTTGGGATCAAAGTGTTTTCCAGGAACTGGTCCAACAAATTCTATTGCTCACTTTGACCTGTTGAAGATAAATTTCTTTTGTGTTTCATGGCAGAGAACTAGGCAACCCCTATATGGAGAGAAGCAGTGCGGGATTTACTGATCTGTTCTCCGAATACTGAGCCATGAGCAATGACTGGAAAATCAGATGAGCACTGCTGAGAAAAAATGTCTCTGAGATCAGGAATCCCCCAAGAGACCAGTGTTGACAACAGGAACACTATGTAGAACAGCTTGTTTTTCATGTTTTCTATTGCTTTCTAGCAAATCTTGCTGGAAAGAAGCTTGAGTTAAGAGCAGAAGATAAACACAATGACCTAACAAAACAGTCTGTGTACAAACCAAGGAGAATTGTTAAATGCTGGGATTTTCCCAATGTGTCAGTAACATATGTTCTCCAGTTAAACTGACATTTCTATAATTTCAGCTGACACCACAGGTTACATCTGTGCATTCAGCTCCTGACCTCAGCTACATCAAGATAGGAAATCTATTTCCACAAACAAGGTCAGAAGTGAGCATTTTAACTATTAACTCAAATTACAATTAACTCAGACAATATATCTTAGTAGGTTTATTTGGGAAGGGGGAATTGCATGAAGACCTTATCCTCTGAGACAGCGCTGAACAACTTCAACAGTAGTCCTGTCATGAGTAACGACCAGTGAAGAGCCCATCACCCTTCCAGCTTCTTTAACTTCCAGCTGCATTGTGCCAGAAGTTAACACGCTCCCACTCTTACAATGTGTATGTTATTTCTGCATTTAGATTGTCTTCAGTTTCCAGTCCTTATTTCACATTGTGCCTTTTCCTGCATCATTTGGAAGAAATCTCATACTCATACAGAAATTAGCAGATCACAGCAAAGTCAATTCCTTAGCCATAGCTGAGTCTTCTAAATAGACTGAGATCTTAGGCCCTTCCTATACCTATTTCCAGTGCTTAGGGATGTTTGCAGCTTTATTTCTATTCCATTCTTCAAAATTCTGCTATGTGTGAACACAGCTAGTCTCCAGGGCCTGAGAGGCTGACAGTACTCTTCCCTGACTTCCCATCTATGCTCTTGCTACACCAGAAAAGTAACAGTGAATACTCCACATTTCTAAAACATCAATGCCTCTGTACTCTAGGGTACAGTCCCTCACCATGCAAGTGTGATCTATGTTCTTTGCTCCCTATCTGGTTGTTCAAATCACACAATGTTTGTCAATTCACCTTTCCAAACATATTCATGTAACTGATCTGTGCTCACCGCTATTACTGATTCCTTCAGTTCTCTTGTATTTCATGTTTTCCACTAAATAACTGACACACATACTGAAAAATGGTAGATCTTGATCAATGGATGAAACCATTAACCATTGAAATTATTCTTCTGTCCTTGATTAATTATTATGACATGCATTGCCAGGGCTTTATATTTGTTAATTAAAGTTGATGCAAATATTTACTCATTTTAAATACTGAGAATTGAAGGCCAATTTTTGGGCATTATCCAAATTATTTTAGATATGCTTAAGTTAGATCACATATTACTTCAACCTGAAATCCCATTTAAGTACTTATTCAGAATGTTATATTAATGTGTATCTCTTTTCCAGAAGAGGATTACACCTATGCAAATGTAGAATGTCATATACAGTTTGCCAACAATGAAAAAGATATTCCCCATGGGAGTTGGACTCAATGATCTCTAGAGGTCCCTTCTGATCCTGCAATTCTGTGTTTCATACACCCCAAATAAAAGCATACAAAGGGAAAGAAGAGGGGAGAGCAACTGTTGTGTGGTACAACATTATTCTAGCTGATCTGGAAGCCACTTAAATTTGCATCTATTTGCTCATTGTTGTACTGGTTCTATCATGTTCTTAGCATCTCAGTGTGCAGTCCTTGAAGTATCTGAGGATCTTCCTTCTATTTATTTGTATATATGTACGTAATGTTAAAGAACACTTCCAGGACTCTAATCTAGAAAAAGGATTATGCATCTATCTCCACTTGCTCCTGCATGGCTTTTGCTCTCTCTTTAGTGCAGAAACTAATTAGGACACACTTACCAGCTGTTCAAGTTAGAAAGAATTTCCATTGTGAAATATGTGTTTAATCATTTCATGTTGCGCTCCAGAGGTGATTTTGGATACTGTCAGTGCTATATGGTCTAGTTTACACATGAAGAGTCCACTGGGTGGGATATATGGGAAAATGGAAATAAATGACTTTAGCATGTTACTCTGGCACATACCTTTTGAATGCTCCCAGTGAAGGGTCTGAGGATCCCAGAGTTCTTCTTCACCGTATCGTAACTGGGGACTCCACCAAGAAATATCTCAGAGCTGCACTTAATCTGTGTGAAAGCGCCCTGCAAGAAACACAGGAGTAGCATTTTATCGGAGTAGCTGGAGCAATGCTTGTTTATTTGGTTTGGCTTACATTAGATGTTACAGCTTATTTAATGCCACATTACTTCTATTAACTTCATATCTTCTTGCAATTCTGTCAAGAAAGCTACTACAGAATAATCCTTAATGCCCAACTTTATCCTCATTGAGCCAGCTGAAAAACCTCCCACGTTTCAAAATGAGAAAACTGTAGGAAGAATCAAGAGAGAGCTTTGAAGCAATACCAAATTTCTTTTCTCCTTACTTACTTATTCAGCTCACACTCTGACTGCTGACTGCACATGTAGCTATCCGCAATGTGTTGAGGTACACAGAACCCAAATGAGGCTTGTGAAGCTAAAACCAAGGCAAGGTCTGTGCAACAGAGACTCAATCAATGTTTCCAACAACGTTGGAAGTAAATCCATAGCAAAATGGAGGAAAAGTTGGGTTTGAATTAGTTGCTAAAAGTATTTGCTAGGATACCTGATGGACTATCAGTTTCTTAGTGTGAATCATTTACCGGGTAAGGACAGGACAACTATGCAATGCCATATGCATATGCAAATGCAGCTCCCAGACAACTTCCTTCAGCAGTTGCACTGCAGCACTTACAGAAAAAAATGAGTGTTCATCTTGACCCACGTTGTAGAGGAATCTCAACTGTGCTTGAACATTTTCCTACTCAAGCTGCTTCTTAAGAGACAACTGGAATTTCAACTGATTTACACATTTCAAGAAAACTCCTTTAAATGGTTTCCTCATTTGAATTAAAAAAGAAAGAAAGAGAGAAAGAAAGAGAGAAAGAAAGAGAGAAAGAGAGAGAGAGAAAGAGAGAGAGAGAGAGAGAAAGAGAGAAAGAGAGAAAGAGAGAAAGAAGTAGATTCTTCTGCTAATAGAATTTAGAATGAGGTTTTATGGCCAGATTTTTCATTTGGAAACTATAAAAGACATTTTATAGTAAAAGGCAGCTCTAGTCTCAGGTAGTTGGAATAAAGAAGTACCTCTGTATGTACACTCAAGGGAAATACGAAATACCCTGTTTGGCTTTTTGCAAGCATGATTTCACCTTATTAAAACTCACTATGACCTCTCAGTGATAAAAGAATAAAATGTGAACCCCTGTGAGTGGGGCTGGCCTTACTCTGCCATAAAAGTTGCTTTTGCAAGGATAAGACAAAGAAACAATTTTCTTTTTACTTACCTATCCAACACAATATTCAGAGAGATAAAGACAGGACTTTGTGCACAGATTTTTCATTTCACTTTTCTCAAGATATTGCATCTCATGGTGTACAGTTTCATGGTTCAACTGACTCAGCTAGAACAATTAAGTGCCAGGAAAAGAACCTAAAGAACTTGAATGAACTCCCAGAAATGTGAGTCCAGCTGCACAGTGTGAGCAGGTAAGGCCATGGTTTCATCTGCCTTTATAGAATTCTTGTACTTACAGGGAAGACAATGTTACATAAGGAAACGTGTCCCTGAAGTGTACTTTTGTCAGCTTGTAAGAGCTTTGACAGCAGCCTGTTGGCTTATGATGTGATTATTCTACAAACTAACAGCTGTATTCATATATATACTCACATACATATTAATGAGAACTTAGATCATATGCTCACCTCTGCCATGCCTTCTACTGGCTTTTGTTTGTCCACTTGTAGGATACCATTCTTCGCAGTGCGAGACACTCGCAGCTCATGCCATTGACCCAGACTGACAGGTTCTTCACTCCTATTTTAAAAGGAAGAAAGATTTATGTATCTTATACTTTTGTCCTTCTAATATTTTCAAATAACTGCTATGCTAAAAGTCAATTTTCCTTCGGATTATTTTCTTAAAAAAATAATAATCCATCAAGTTTCCGTTTAGCTACAAGGAAGAAACATAATGCCTGAGGCTTATCACTAAAGAAAATAAGATTGTGTTCCTACCACAAACAACTATCTCTTTACTCTTGTTTATAAAAGAAACATCTAAATAATCAGAATTCACTTCATCTAGCTCCGAATTACTTCTTATGCTCAATCATTTGTAAAGTGTAAAGGAAATTTTTTGGCTCAGTTGTACATTCTTATTTCATGATGACATAAGCCTGGAGATAAAATTTCCCATTTAATGTTCATTTAGCCCCCCATCCTCCCTTCTCTTTTAAAACAGAAGTGCTTTGTACTGGCTTATCAGCTCTATTTATGCATCTTGTTCCAGTGAAATCCACACACACACACAAGAAGCCTGCACATTAAGGGGAAGTAACTAAAATATGATCCTAATGATGTGATGAAATCCTGGACAGGAACAATAATCCCCAGTTGTGTAAAGCATTCTCCAGTCTCAAAGCAAGTCTTTGAAGACTGTTCTTAGAATATCGATTGGTTCAATTCTAATTCGAATAGCAGAGTACTTAATGGTCAAAATTGTTTTCCCCTTCAGAAGTTCTACAGAACTTGCCAATTAGTATAAAAGTTAAAACATTTTATGTCTAAATGATAATTTGCAGCCATTCCCCCAGGAGTGATAAAACCTGTGTTTCATACACCAGTCAAGCTGAAAAAATCAGAAATGGTGTTATTTGGGATACTTCAGCACTTTTTAGCTTTTTCTTTATGAGAAAGTATAAATAAATATGAAATTTTCAGATTGATTTAAATGCTGATTTAAAAAAAAAAGATGTATCAATTTCAAAATGTGCAAATATGAGCTCCTTTCCTTTTTTATTTCTGTATAATTTGAAATATTTTTATTGCATTTACATCGCTCCTTCAAATTTCTTCAAAGTTTGTATCTGTCTTTATTTGGAAGATATTAACAATAATTACTTTGACAGTTGTTTCAGAGAACCCGAAAAAACACATATCACTGAGCAATGCTATTTGCCTTTTCCTCTTTTTTGTGTGTGGTAGCATTTATTGTTTAATTACTTGGGGTAAATTAATAGGTAACAGAATTTCATCACCTTAGTATATAAATATTTAATAAGAAACCAATGGGTTTGGATGCCTAATAAGTGCCACCACATATATTTCATCTCCTCACTGTCACCACTGCTCAAATGCACTGTGCATCACCTCACTGTACTCAAACCCACTGTTTGGTACCCAGAAATATACAGCAAGCACTAATGTATGCCATTCAGTGGCACACCTTCGCTTCATACACGCTCCCATGTCAGATGCCATTTTGTCAGACTGCCCCTCTGCTGCCATCTGTCACACAGCAACATGGAACAGGACATTGTTGGGAAGGTTCAGCCTCTATTGTCATACTACCAAGATCTGGCTCTGGACCAACATTATAAAATAGGAGGCATCACTTCCTGAGCTCCCTCATATTTCTTGGATTCATGGGGTTTTTGAAAGCTGCGAATATGGTAGTGCTTCTTTCCAGTACTGGAACTCCTGATTCTTTGTGTGCCTATGGGCTAATGATTACTTTTTCCAGGACAAACTGGACCTTAGAAAATACTCCATACAATAAAATTATTGATCCTGCAACATGTGGCCATGGGATACAGCAAATTTTTACATCCTGGTTTTGCCTGGCTTTGGTTTTGCCTTCACTCAGCAGCCCTTCTTCTTCCTGAGCACCTTATGCACACTACGCTTCTTCCAGCTTGGCTCATCTGTGGCAAAATCCTGACTGCTGCTTCTGACTCACTGAAATACCTTCTGTTTTCCATATCCTTAATTACAAATACATTGTAGTTGTGTTCCAGTCATATTCTAATATTTAACAGCTTGGTCATGTGGAAGAGATAGGATGACCAGAACTGTATCCCCATAAAAGGTAGGACAAAAGATAGGTGAGAATTATTACGATGAAGACTAAAGCAGACTGTTAAGCTGGTACTGCATAAACAGGCATGCATATTTCATTTAAGAACTGACATAACTGATGGCAGGGTGCAAGTTGCCCATGTTACAAGAGGATGTAAAATGGAGACAGGGCTGAGCACTGGTATGTTCCATGAAGATATGACTGGAGTAGGCAGCAGAATACAGGTTAATTATACCAAGATAACAGCAACCTGATGTGCATCAGACAGGGCAAGTTCACTACGACACCTGGAGTTAAGTAGTCAGTGCCTGAGCTGAAAATTAACTACCCCACCTGAAGCTTGTGTGCTTGGGCACAGGAAAGGAGGGAGCAAGAAGTTACAGCTCCAGAAATGAAGTTAATGCCATGTAAAGAAGGTAATCAGTTGAATGTAAGAGGAACCAGGGTTCATGGGTTTTGATTCACATCTAAAGGCTGAAAAGGATTGCTCTATGCACCAGTGCTATGCCTCCTTAAACATAAACTTGTTAAACTGATGATGCACAGTCAACCTCAAACTTGTCCTTTCCTCGTCTAAGTGCCTGACCATGCAATTGACACAACATGCACTGAAAATAAATGTATCTAAGTTATTGTTTAACAGCTTCTCTAATGTGTGGAACAATTCTGGCAACCTTCCACTCATCTTGGCAGCCTCAAAAATCTCCCCCCATTACTCATCAATCACACCAGACTCATTCCTACTACACTCAACTCAGTGTTAATTGGTGTGCTGCTCTCTCTTGTGCTTTCCAATAGAAAGGGGCAGTTTCCAACCTTAGGCACAAGCCTCTGGCTCTCAGCACATTTTACAAGCCCCATACCTCTTGGCTGAACTTTAATCCAAGATGTTCTGCAGCACTACAGTATTCTTTGGTGGGAAAATGATATCTACTTTAAAGTATTGTGGTTACCAGTAGGAGGAATTAGATGTAATCAGAAAGAAATTGAAGGCTATTGTAAGAGTCACTTTGGGTTCGAGCAAAGGTCTTTCACATAAGATATTTCTGACAGTTTGGTCAGATAAAAGAACAGGGCAAGTTTGGAATGATACTTTCCTTGATGTATCCTCCAAGCTTCTGGCAACATGTTATTTAGCAATTTCCTGAGTTGAAGGCTGCATCCGTACAATTGTGTTTGATCTCCCTCAATGGATCTTTCTTTGGATTTGTCTAAGTTTTTTTCTGAACCTATTTATAGTTTTGGCATCTGAAACATGCAGTGACGATTAGTTTCCACAACTTATTTATGTGCTGTCTGGGAAAAAAAAGTCTTCTATGCTTGTTACTATTTGTTTTGCAGTCTCCTGCACAATTCCCGCACAAATAAAAAAATGCAGAATAATCATTTTTTGTTCATCTCCATGTTCCATTCACAGTTTCAAAATCCTAATTGTACTTCCATTAGTCTCTTTGAAATGATCTTCCACTTGTGGAAATTGTTACTTTACCTTTCCTGGATATCAACGCTATTCCTCTTCTTTTAATTCTGCTGATTTCTTTTGAAATTAAGTGACTACAGCTGCAGGAAGTTTTCAAGACAGTGTGCATCATGAATTTTTGCAGATGCATTGTTCTTTATTTCATTCCTAAAAACTCTTTGCATTCTAATTGCATTTTTGTATTTGTCTCCAAGCAGCTAGCTGTTGGTTGCACAGGACTATCTATGATTACTCTAGAATCCTCCCCTATGTGACAACACTAACTGCATCTCCACAGCTGTGAATTGTTGGTATTGTGCATTATTTTGCACTAGTCCTAATGATATTTCATCTTTGTGTTTATAATGAGTGAATTTGTATGTATTAGTCTTCATTCAGTGGAAAATCAACGTATTTCTCTTAATTGCAGTACAGCCATAATTCCTAGTGTCCACAGAAAAGACATGATACACAAGACTTGCAGGCACTGTGTACGTTTTTCATAAGCTTTACACAGATTATTTCTATATATTAGGTCAGTCTGGTCAAACTGGGACTGCAGCCAAGGTACTGAGTGCCTCTGTTCAGCTCACTGCCTTTTCTACAAACACTGGGAACAACTATTCAAGGACTGGGCACTCATTTACACACAAAGAAAAGCCCTTTTTGAGGCATCTCATTGCTCCTGTCCTACGCCATTATTTTAGGATGAGATGAATCATTCTCAGATGGTGTCTGGGAGCCTGGGTGACTCATATAAATCAGACAATAATCTTTAAGACTGCTAGGTAAATTGGGTATTGCTCTTAGATCCCCAAAGAAGCAAGACTACGCAATAGAGGGGACCTGGAGTTGTATCTTGTTGTGACATCTCCATCCCAGTACTTACTGCCTGCAATCAGGCAGGAGACCAGGGAGGATGATGATCACAAGACTGCTGCAGTACAATTCTGTGTCTAGAAATATATATAAACATTTATCAACCTCCTAATTACCAGTGGCACAATGTATGGAGGTAAGAATGAATTTCTGCAATAACACACAGAAAGAAAAATAACATCTGCAGTAAGACAGTGACATGATGTGGAAACAGTGAGAAGTCTTTGAAACAAAGCAAGATGTTGTCCCTGCAAGTGCAGTGGTAGTGCTTCTGTGCCTTCTTAGAAGAAGCAGGCAGTACAAACAGATGGGCTTCCATACTTCATTATACGATATTCTTCTTTTCAACTCACTCCTCTCCTGGGAATGATCTGTGGCATTGTTGGAAGGGAAATATGACAAATGAGATTGTACCTGATGACAGCCGTTCCTGAGCCGCAATCAAATCTGAACTCCACGTAACCAGCCACCATATTGATAGAGAGGAAGTCTTTGCTGTTTGTGTCATAGCTGTACAAAAGGACACCAGTCTCTAAATCTGGACGAAATGTCATCTCAAACTCCATGAAGGAAAGATAGTTCTGTGGTTCCAAGGGCCAGGGTGTGCTAGCAAACGATCTTAAGGATTCATTGAACTGAGGTATGGCCAGGGTGAGTGCTGGAAATCCAGAATACACAAGTAGGTCACTTGAGGCTCAAACGTAAGGAGTAACTAACCTACCAACCAGTATCAGTTCCCTTTATTTTGTGCTTAAAGCTAACACAAAAGGAAACAACTCAGGAATTTCGTCATCAAAATTAGAAATATTTTTTATCATAGCCAGAATCATTTAACTCCTTTATCTCTCCTTCTCCCAAGGATGCTATATGTAGTAGAAAATTTTGTGCTTTACTGTGATTAATACATCTCTGTAGACATTTACTGCAGTGTTTTTCAAAGTAATAAGCAATGCGTGGCATCATGAAAAACTGTATTCCAAACACTAATTTGGTAACTAGTTATTTTAATCTCTGCAATTTCAACATAAAATTGATATTTGGTCCTTTATATTTAGAATACAAAACTGATGCTGGTTAAAACAAAACTGTGGATTTCTTTAGGGTGATTGTGTAACTGTGGAGCTGAAAAGGGAGACTGAGAAGCTTAATTGTAGTTAATTTAAATAGTTAATTTGAATAAGAGGCCAAGTTTAAGAATCTCTGACTAAATAGAGATTGCATGTAGCCCCAGACTGAGTGTCAGGCAGGATTTCAATGTGTGATTTTAATAAGATGAAATAATATTGAGTACTTGCCTTCTATCAGTTAATAACATAAGACATCCTTGGATGTCACTATTTGGAAAAGCACGCTGAATACTAAATGACAAAAAGAAATGCAGGCAATCCAGTACACTCTCACCTTCTTCACAGTGGTGACCTTTAAATCCAAGAGGGCAAAGGCAAATGTACGAGTCTGCCTTGCTTGCAGTGCAGGTACCGCTGTTGATGCAGGATGCCTCGTCACAGATTCCACTGCTGCACTCACCTAAATACAGCACCACAGTAATGATTTATCAGAGAAGTTTGTCAAAGATTTACTTAATTGTTGGTCATTGCAACTAACCAATACAATTTGCTCTCCATCCCAGATTCTTCCCCCATTTGTAAAACTATACATAGTTCAGCCAAAGTAGCTCGCTTTTAGCACTGGCTTTATACTAGACCTTAAAATTAGCAGAAATAAGTCCTCATTAGCAAATCATGACAGTCAAGTCTTTCAATAATTCCCCAGAATACTTTTCTTCCACCCTCATTCCTATCTTTGTTTTCTCTTAAGTGTTAATTGAAAACTGTATAGATCGTTCAGAAACACTGTGATTTGTTTTATTTCAAATACTGTAAGTGCTTCTTTGTTCACTGTAAGTTTGTGCCTTTGTAAGCCTGGGAGGTGTAATGAGCACTGTCCCCCAGGGGTCTGTCTTGGGACCAGTGCTCTTTAACATCTTTATCAATTACATCGATGATGGAATCGAGTGCACTCTCAGCAAGTTTGCTGATGACACCAAGCTGAGTGGTGCAGTTGACACGGTGGAAGGAAGGGATGCCATTCAGAGGGACCTCGAGAGGCTAGAAAGGTGGGCCTGGGTGAACCTGATGAGGTTCAACACAGCAGTGTGCAAGGTTTTGCACTTGGGCTGGAGGAATCCCAGGCATCCGTACAGGCTGGAAAGAGAGGTTCTGGAGAGCAGCCCTGCAGGGAAGGATCTGGGGTCTTGACAGATGAAAAGCTTAACATGAGCCAGCAGTGTGCTGTTGCAGCTCAGAAAGCAAATGGTATCCTGGGCTCCATCAGAAGAGGGGTGGCCAGCAGGGACAGGGAGGTGATTGTTCCCCTCTACTCTGCTCTTGTGAGGCCCCATCTGCAGTACTGTATCCAGGTCTGGAGACCACAGTACAAAAAAGACAGGGAGCTGTTGGAGAGGGACCAGAGGAGAGCCACAAAGATGATCAGGGGGCTGGCACACCTCCCCTATGAAGACAGGCTGAGGGAGCTGGGCTTGTTCAGCCTGGAGAAAAGAAGGCTGCTGGGTGACCTCATTGCAGCCTTTCAGTACCTAAAGGGAGGCTACAGACAGGAGGGGAATCAACTCTTTGAAAGGGTAGATAACAGCAGGACAAGGGGAAATGGTTTTAAGTTGGGAGACAGAAGATTTAGGTTGGATGTCAGGGGGAAGTTCCTTATAGAGAGAGTGGTGAGGTGCTGGAACAGGCTGCCCAGATAGGTTGTGGATGCCCTGTCCCTGGAGGTGTTCAAGGCCAGATTGGATGGGACCCTGGGCAACCTAGTCTGGTATTAAATGTGGAGGTTGGTGGCCCTGCACGTGGCTGGAGTGTTGGAGATTCATGATTCATGATCCTTGAGGTCCCTTCCAACCCTGGTCATTCTGTGATTCTGTGATTCTGGGATATCACCCCTGAGATGACACAGGTGTGCTCAGGCAGTGCTAACAATGCTATCCAATGGTAATATGACATGGACCTAAACGGTCCATGTCATATTGCACTGAGGCCTGAGTGCAGCCCTCACTAGACAGGGTCTAGGGATTCAACCAAGGAGCATAACCGAAGCACACTGGAAGGGAACAAATTCTCCTCCTGTTGCAACAAGACGATTACCTTTCAAAATGGCTGCCCCACACCCAGCTGTGCGATGCTCATTTAGCCATCATTTCCCTTTCTGATTCTCAGTGTTATTACACAACAGAGAATGTTTTGTAATGATGACCTGCACCTTTCCTGAAGGTTCTCCCCAGGCCTATGATGAAGTTCTCAATGGCTACAAGAGCTCTCTGGTCTGAGAGAACTCTCATGTAGTCATCACTTTTTGCAGTGGAAACAGAAATGAGCAGTACCAGATTGGTTTTATGGATGGGAAACTGAGGCAAGATGTGGGACAACTAGAAATTCATCAAGTCTGAGACATGACTAGAAAATTCAAGCAATGCTCGTCTTTATCTGCAGTACTAACAATGCTGGTACTATTTTCAGAAAGACTGAAGTGGAATTTTTAAGTACCAGAAAAGAAAGAAGGCAGCAGCAGTGGTCAGACAAGCTGTAGGCTCTCTGGTTTGAGAGCCAGTTTGAGCTGCAGCAGTCACAGTATGTACTGCCAGGCAGCTCTCACAGCATCATGTGCTGGTGGCTTGTCCTGCACAGGGGCTGGGTGGCCCCTTTCCTGCCTGCCCTTAGTGCTGTGGTCCATAAATCACAGCATTCATGATTTATACACTGTACTAAAGAAAAAGAAACAAAAGGCAGGCTAGCAAAAGCCATCCTTAAACCTCAGTAGAGTTCACTTGAAATTTATTTATTTTAAGCTTAATGTATCATATATTGCTTGCAAATCTCTCCTGGCACAGTATCAAATAAGAGTGTGCAGCCATGTAAGGAAAGTAGGGCCCTATCACTCAGTTTTGAGTCACACATGGCAGATCCAAGCATTTATTTTCAGTGATGTTGATTGTTAATGCAGTAGCACGTGAAGCATTCCTAGATAGGAATGAAACCAGCTGCATCACAAGAGGCAATAGAGATCAGGACTTGGAGAATTTCAGCAGGGCTTTCATCTATCTATATAAATTCCACAGATTCTCACTCTGTCATGAAATTACTGTCTGCTTCCAAAGCCTTATTCTTTTATTATCTATTTCTTAGGCTGCACTATTCTCCTCCTGTGTAGGACAGAAGTTCAGTCATGTTATCTAGAGAATACAGGGTGATTGTTGGCAGGTTTCTCATTAATCACTTGCTTCATGAGAAGCCAAATGCAAAGCTATAGAAGAGAAGAAAGATGACTTTGTGGATGAAGCATGGCAGAGAGCATTCAACAATATGGGACAAATTTCCTGCCTTCATCTCTTGCTTTCTGACCTGGGGGTTACCCTTCCACTTAAACTGATCAGACTAGGATGCCATTAAAGCAAAGATTTTGTTGTTTTCTGATTGTCCATTACATGGATGAAGTAGGGATTACTAAATATATATAGAAGACAGGACTTGTTAATTAACTTCCCTACTTCTCCATCTTTTCTTCTGTGAAGGGGAAATAATGTTATACACCACCCTCCAGAGCTATTGAAAGAATTGATATATATGTATTTTTAATAGTGTGATCCTGGAACTGAAAACAATGGATGGTAAACAGGAAAGCCTATTTGCCTCAACAATAATGGGTTTTCATGGGAAAAGTCCTTTTAATGGCCAAAGCACTGCTTGGATCTGAAATATTGTTGTGTTGCTTTGGAGAAGTGAAATTATGCCTGTAGGCAAAACACATTTTGTTGCGTCCACAGTGCTTTGCACAAACTCAGTATGCATTCTATTGATTTCTGCTGGTGACTGTGTCAGTCAGTGGCATGGAAAGGTAGCCTAGAAGCTGCTGGCAAAAACACTACTGCAGAAATAACTACATCAGAAACAGTGAGTTTCATGCTTGCTTGTGGGAGTAGGCTTTACCATTGTGTTGGACAGCTACATCTACAAGGGTTTGGGGTATATTTGATTGATATTTACATGGACAGTTTGGTAAAAGCCTCCTACAACAGACCCAGCTACAGCAATGCATAAAGCACAGAGAAATATCATGCCAAAAATTAGAATCAGAACTTCCCACTCTCAAACCTATATGACTGCTCAATTTTCCTTCAGGCTAAAAAAAAACCAACAAACTGGTGAGTGGTTTAGCACTGATTAAAGACTGCACACTGTTACACTTACCTACATCAGCACCACTGAGTGCTTTCCCCAAAGGCCAGGGTCTCATATCAATCATTTTCCCATTAATGCTGAGAAACTGAACACAGCCCTGAAATCCACGGTTGGTGCCTGCAGCTCTGACCAGCCAATACACACTGGGGGCACCGCCAACATAGAAGGGAGTCCGGAAGGTAATTTTACTATATTGGCCCTGAAAGGAAAACATAACACAACATAATGTAGAACAGACAAAATACAGGGTAACTTAAGCTACACTGTATGTAATCAATGAAAATTTGTTCCAGTGGATTTACAGGCTGCTCGTTGATGTCCTTTTCATTGCTTATTCCCTTGGTCCATCTATAACTGAAAAACACTTAAAATATGCTACTTTTTGCACCTACATCCATTATGATAACATGAGCTACTTAAAGCAAAATATGAAGGTTGAAAATCACTGTATTCTAACGGAGCTTTCTGGATATCTGTCTTTTGCTGCAATTTCTTCCTTTGCTTTTGCCAACATTACTTGTCTTCTCAACTCAGCCCTGGGGGACACAGACCAATATGGTGCTGCCATTTGGACAGAACTCAGCAAATGCTGAGAGCTGAATAATAATCAAATGAAAAAAGATAACAGCAAACACCAAGACAAAACATAATCTGATACCACTAAAACTTCAGGGGGATTCTGCCCACTTTACCAGCACTAAATTTACTCCTGATCTTTTATTACTTGATCTCAACTTACCTATGGAAACCTACACATACAAGTTTCCTTGCACTACTGCAATGCATAGGAAGGAATGAAAAAAGCCTAAATGGAACCTTTTTGATCATTAATTTAAACCCTCCATAATGTGGGCAACTGAGTCATAATTCTTTTCATAAATCGATCAAAATATTTATTTTGTCTCCTACTCAAAAGCTGTTTCAAAACATCTGTGACCTCTAGAATAAAACATTTAAAATTCCTGCTTTTATTCACAGCTAGATTTTACCTAGTGTGTCCTGAGAGCTGATCACTAGCCCAGACACTTTCTGGACTTTTCAGTCTTGTTCTGCCTCCATGGTATTTATGACAATAAATCCTGTTTCCAGGGGCTACATTTTGCCAGGCTAAGTTAGCCAAGGTTATTGAGTCCATGAGCATATGCTGCACAGTACAGTGCAGAAATACATCAAATGGATCTGGATTTCAGCAGTGAAATAATTCATGGGGAGCCTGTGGTTACAGAGAGTTTGTCTATCCACAGGGTTTCATAGGTTGGCATTTTGCAGAGCTGTGGGCACACCATCCTCCTGCTCTCCTCCACTGATTTGCCAGCTCCAACAGCCTTTGATGTTTTCCTGCACAGGTCTGTCATGTTCCACCTCTTCTGGGTACTTTCAAACCTCTCCAAAGAACAGATCAGATATGACTGCCATTTGTTGACACCAGTCCAGGTAATTTTGACTTGGAAGGGCTGAGGAAGAATCAATGGAGCAATAACATTGTCAGAGCTGCAAGTTCTGGTGGAGAGCTGCAGGAGCAATTGACTATTTTTCTGGTGTATATGCAGTTAGAAAATTGTTGGTCCACTATCAAACTCTTCTGGTGATAGACTCTGTGGACCACAATCCTCCTTCTTTGCATCTCTTCCCCATCAACTTGTCTTGTGTACAGGCAACCACACGCAGTCTCACCAAAATTCTATGCAATAGCATAACTCTCTATTGGACACATCTCCGATTCACTCTGAATTACATTTGCCTTTCGCGTTGCCTTGCAGCACTGGTAACACATAGTGATACATGACACTAAAGTCCTTCTCCTCTGTCATTTTCAGCTGATGAGCACTCTATGTGAAACAGAAGTTCTTGCCATTAGGATCCAAGCACACAGCATTTATGCTGACAAGCTTCATCCCTTCCTATCATTCTAGTTCTTGATATTTTCTTTCTTTCAGAGCCTGCACATGGAAGTGTAAAGCAATAATATACTAGAAGTCCCTTTTTCAGTGCCAGGGATGGCAAGCTAATAGTTCTTATTAAAAGGAAGAGGAAAGACATCCAAACCAATTTGCAATTGTCTTTTTTTTTTTTTTTTCCTCTGTGTCTTTATTTTATTTCTCTTTTCTGATTTGGTAAGAGATGAGAAAATCAAGACAAGACAATTTCCTGCATCATATTTTATCCTAGCAGTCTCATGTGAGACTGTTGGTATTACTTTTAATCAGGGCAGAATGCCTATTTCCATTATAGTGCTTAATAGTATACGTTTATTTATACTCTACTATACAAATCTTGTGTGGCCATATGTATATTGTATATAACTACACACAAACACACATATGAGCAATCTGTTCTGGTTGAGAAAGTGGAAAAGCAGAGACTTGAAAAAGAAACTAACAGAGCCAACAGCTGTAAAACCTGGCAAATTTCTCACAGCAGATTGTTATGAAAGATGAAAGAAGTGCAGGAGTAGGGTGCAGGGCAAGGAGGGAGCATGGCAGGATAACCTGGACGGGATTCAGCATTGGGATATCTATTTACATGAATTCTAGACTACTCATGTAGAAAGGTAATTTGTGCATTGATCCTGATTCACACGAAATGCTCCAAAACTGATGATGGAAAGTGGACCTTTCAAATCTGATCAGATTTCTACTGGCAAGAAAAAAAGTCATAGCAATATTGAGAGAGCCCTAGGTCAAGCTGCAAGATTACCTACCTGAGACTTTCCCGTGACTGGAGCATCATTATCCATCCTGAGCCAGCCATTCAGCCCATCTCTGAAGAGTGTGACACTGTGCCAGTTCCCCAGTTTGATTTTGTTTTCACTTGTTATGACTGCAACTCCAGTGCCGCAGTTATACCTGGTAGTTGTAGACAGAGAGGGCAGGGTGACAATTTCTCAAGAAGCAAATACCGAATATTTTTATACTTCCGAATATTCCCTCCTCTTCTGGGAACATCTCTGTTTCTCAGCACATATTAACAGGCAACAGGAAAATTAGACAGGAGGTCTAAGTATGATTTGTTCCAGATTTCAAATTGTATTATCCTTCATGGAGAAGGTTTTGAAGTTTGCAGCTATATCAAGTGCATTGCAAAGCTTTTTCACAGCTGAAGTTCTTTCAAGATGCATGGTATTACAACCAGAGTTCCTGACATCACAGTAATTTATCTTGGGAATTTTGCTAGTTGCCTGGCAAAAGGTAGCAATGTATTAATAACACCGGGGCTCTGTACAAAACTCAAGTCTTCCAGTGCACACTGACAAGGAGACCTCCACCAGAGTTTCTGTGGAGCTGACCATGCACAGCACATTATCTCTGATTGCTGTTCAATGCAGAAGGTGAACAGAAATAGAGCTTTAACAAGCACCGTTTTGGTTTTCCCCACTTTCTAAGGAGTCAGTCTTCCAAACGAGAAGACCCTTGAGAGACTCCTTCTCACATTTCATATCAGTGGCAATGCAAGAAACTCTCTCCCTCATCATATAAAAAACCTGCATCTTCCATCCAAACAAGGAATATGGAATGAAAGCTCCAGACACCTTGCTGGCCTAATATCCTTTACTGTACTATGTGATCTGCAACTCCTTTTGCTGTGAGGCAAAAACACTGAGTATGCACTGCCCCTAAGAAAACTGATCACTGTACTTTTACACCGAGGTCTGAGTAATATTAGTTCAACAGGGCACATATTCACACACTGACTAAGGATTATAGAGGAAAATATGTAGGAACTGTACAGTGAAGCAATACTATCCATTTTGTGCACTGCATAGGACAGAAAGTCAGGAGAGTTATTTATCATTTAAAGTGTCTCAGGAGGTAGCAGTGTCCTCCTCTCTTTACATCAGACTTAGAGTAAAGATGGGCCTACTGGAAATCATTCTTCTACCTGAACTGGACACTCCGTCGGATGATTGCCAGTGACATAAAATCACCACGGCCATGTTCATTTTCCCCACAATAGAGTAGCAAACCATCTTCTGATTCAGCCTGCAATGACAGCATCAATATGAAAAATCAATAACCAAGCCTCAAAATGACAGATAATTGTACGTAGTACCGGGAGAATTTTCTTCAGAAAAGGAGTTAAATTGTAAAAACATGGTCGATCCATATGAATCCTGACTAAGAAGAGCCTAGCACACATTGTCTTAATGCTTAAATGGTTTAAGAATATCTCTTCCGTAAACAGAATGACACTATCAGATCTACCAACAGCTGTTAAGTGTAGAGACATGAGACTTGCCACACATGAATACACACACCCTTCCTCACACCCTCAGAGAATCAGATGCTTTTCAAGCCAAATAACCTGGGCAGGCAAGATTTATCCGTATCCATATGTGCATAGCAGCAGAAGCCGTGGCTTTTCACAGCCATCCTACAATCTGAGTTGACAAACTGCCAGAAAAGTGTTAGATCACCACACGAGGCAACAGGTCGCTACCGCTCCACAACAGGTTTGTATCTGGGCTGAGATGGTAGCCAGGCTGCCTTGCACAGGATGTAAACGAGAACTCATCTACAAATGCTGCCTTCTCTTCAGACAGCCCTATCAGCTCTGTCCTAATTTGGACAATAATGGACACGAACACTGTATCTAGATTACCCAAGTAGTTTGCACTCCTTGAACATGAAGACAGATCATTAGGGATGAAGCTTACATATAAGCTCAACACAGTTGCATTATGAACTGCACTGAAGAAAAGTTAGTATCCTGCTGTCCACATACAGGACACAGTACGGGATTGGAGCTCGATGATCTTAAGGTCCTCTAATCTAAACCATCCTCTGATGCTATGAATCTATGAATATCAGAATAAGTGAAAAATCCAAAGCACCAAAAAGAACATAGAATTGCTTTAACTTACCCTGAATTCAAGAGTAATTTGAAACGTCTGATAGGAGTTTTTCAGTGGTTCAAATGTAATATATGAGTAGCCATAGAACTGAGGATACTGAATAGTAATATCTGAAAAGTAATGACAGAAGCACATGATTTAGCAATTTTCTACCAACATAAAAACTTATACACATATTTAGCAGTAGGTAACATTAGGGGAAAAGGCAAGGTAGAGCTCCTCCAGAGACAGCCATTAGTCAGCAGCAGTGAACAATCAGTTAACCTACTGTCTCATCATTCCACCACCTGTTACAATTCCTCTACTCTCAAGAAGGCTGGTGAACTTGGAAAAGAGCAAGATACTTTAGGCCAAATACTGCTAAACAGCTTAAATCACTGACTTCAGAAAGTGGAACTTTCTGAATTTCATCTCTGTTTCAGGAAACAGAACCCATCTATTTACTTATCTTCATTTAAGAAACCACCCAATGCAGTGACGACAAATGAATTTTCTGTTTTACAAAAACCTAATTGGGAAATGTACACTGAGCCAGTATCCAGATACATTACTCACTGTTGCTCCATATCTGCCATATCCAGCATCTGGAAAAGTCTTGGGTGATTGCTAGGAGCCCCAAGTGCCTTTCTCCCATCAGCTCAGGGCAGAATGCTCAGGGAGGGATGGGGAGAGGAAAGTTCCTGCATCTCCCATTCCGTGGGTGCAGCAGTAACCTTCCATATTATTCATTGGATGGTGTCATCAGCCCTGGCCATTTACTATCTTATGTCAGACCACCATCTCAGCTTCAGCACAGAAAACAAGAGGGGCATGTCTTACTGCTACATTTGCAGCTAATTTTCCCAAGAAACACAGAGGATAGATGCAGTTTCAGGCCTGAATTTTTGCCACAGATGTAAGCCTAATAAGGTAGGAAGGATGAAGAGTCTTATTCCATTTTGCTGTTTGAATAGTGAGTGGATTTTTCTTGTGTACTTGGAGCTAGATACAGCTCTCACAGCTTCTTTGTTATTAAGGCAAACAAATAAAATACATCTGAGTCTGAGGTGGACAGAACTGGTGCTATAATCCTGAATCAACCAAGTAGTCAGAATTAACTCATGCCCTGATCACAAACAGCCCTGACTGGACCAAAGAGTCACTCAGCTGCTGACTGTAAAGAAAAGTCTGTTTTCATTCAGACTAATATACTATTTAAAAATACTGTCTTCTTTGGAGAATCTCAGTACAAAGCAATATTGATAGATGATGCTACTGCTTACCAGTATAAAGGAACAGAAAACTCCCTTGTGAAAAATGGTGGTTTTGGAATCACATTAACAGACTAACACTACAAGCTGTATACAGTTCAAACACATCCTTGACTTTTCATACTAGATCAAGGCCAAAAATCACATCTGCAGTTGTTCCCTGTGGCTGAGTCACAATGGACTGGTTTCAGAATGAGCTCTGTCTACTCTTGCACTGGGAGGAGAAAATAAAATACTGCAGTGCAAATGTTGCTGATGCATAATGTAGTGCATCAGGAATATTCAGAACGGGCCTGCAGAAAAAAATACATGTCCCTGGTGTTCCTTCTTAGCACGTGGGACCAGCACTATTATCAGTAATAGGACAGATCTTCAGCACCTCCCACATACATCATGAGCAATAAGACGTAAGTCGTGACACTATCCCATGAGAAGGGACAGCATTTCTCCATCAGACTCCTTGTTTATTTTTTTTGTTAGTTACCACTAATTGCAACCGTCTGTTGCAATTTCAAACACCTGCTGTCAAGAGTTTGATACTTGACTGGGAAGCGATGCTTGGGATGCTGTGTAGCAGAGAAGCAGACCTTCCTCACTGAGGGTCAACTGAGCCAGCTTTGGGTCTGGGCAGACCTAAGAGCACCACACAGGTATGTACCTCTTCCCTCCTCCCTGTGCATAGCCTCACCTCTCACTTTGCAGTTTCTGGCATTTCTGGGCCCTTGATCATCAAAGCAACAGACAAATAATTCCAGAGGGGAAAAAAAAACCAGAAGTGACTCACTGCGTGATCAGCTCTTCTCAGGGCTGGCAGAAAGGAGAGGTTTGGCCTCAGCAGAGCAAGAGTCAAAGGGGTATGAATGCCCCAAATGAAAGCTGGAGATACCACGGCTGGACACTGCGAGGCCTAGGTGCCTCTCACTCCCAAATATAGGAGGTAGGATTAATATGCCCCACATAGCTATAGGTGTCTGCATTTGTCTTTCCCAGCTTTATTAAAGACTAATTTCTTCAAACATGGTTAAGGAAAGAGAAAAAATCAAAGGAACTGATGTCTGAACAGAAACATGGAATTTTCTGCTGTCCTTAGGCACCCATTAATCCCAACCTGATACTTCAATAAATGTACTTTTGTTGTTTTACTACACAGCTGCTCCTTGCCTAAGACAAACAAAACTAGAAATCAGCCTCCGTGTGGTCTAAAAACCTGGGCCACAGCCAGGCCCTGCTGCTGCACGTGCCACTCCACAGAAGCCTCAGACATTTGGTTGGCCATCCCTGGGGGGACACCCATTGGGAAGCCATTGAGGAAGCACAGCCCTATGTACTGGCGGACAAGGAGCTCTGCACATAGAAATGTACCTTCTGTGCACATCTCCCCTCCTTTCCCCAAGTTGCAATGGCAACGTGAGCCTCCTCGGTCATAGTCATTGACACAAAAGCTGTCTGCAGAACAGATGGTCTCATCGCAGGAAAGATCAAAGAGGCGTGGGGCAGAGGACATGCTGCCCCTTCTTGTGGCCCTGGCTGTTGTAACCCTGGCCGTGGTGGAAGGTTGTGTGGTGGTGGGAGTGGAAGTGGTGGGCTCCGAAGTGGTTGTAAGGACCCGTGACAACAGCCTGGAGCTAGACCCTGGCGTGACCTTAGTTTCAACCAGAAATTTTCTGTTGCCTCCTTTGATAGCAGGAAGTGGTCTGAGCTAAAGGGAAAGAAGTAAACACAAATTAGTAAAACCTAATTTGGACACTGGCATGACATGAACAATTTCCAAGACACAGATCTGAAGTAACAAATCCATTCTCACTGAAGAAAAAGAAATTATATTATTTTATCTGAGCATATAATATCTATCTGATAAGATCAGACACTTCAAAACGTTAAGACTTAAAAGGAAACAGAAATGTCGAAGTGGAATCTTGATATTTACCTCTTCTATGTAAATGTCATAGTCTGAGTCATCCACATCAAATCCATCATCATCACCAGTGACTGTTTCTGTGATATAACGATGTCCATAACTTCCACTTCCTAACTCTTCAGAACCTGAAAAAACACAACTGGTGTACTCAGTTCATATGCTTTTTTTCTCTTTACATAAAGCAGCTCAGATGTTATCTTCCCTGACATAGAACAGTGAAATAAGAAGCAGATCACAGATGTTCATTCTGTACAGGCAACAAACGTGTCTGCCTGAAGATGGGACAGGCTGCACAAGTGACACACACCCAATTTAAAACAAAACAAGCTAAGACCTTCATGGTCTGGGTTTCCTTAACAAAGCAGGAAAAGCTCCATACTCCCACTGTAAACAGACTTCTATCTATCATTCCTCCAGTCGAATGGCTCCAACCATTTTTTCAGCATGGACCACATTTTAACAGCCATATTCGTTTAAATCAAACCCTTCCTTTTCATAAATACCCCATCACTTGTTCACCCCACTGTCAACCAAATATCCAGAAGAGCTCAGGGTTAAGAATATAAGGTTAAGAATATAAAACATATAGTAAGCAGTGAAACAATGGACATCATACATCAGCTTTCCACAAAATATGCTGAGGTCACTTAAGAACAGCACAGGTAATCCTGGCTTTGCAGAGCCTCTGAAAGGGCTGGCCATGTGTCTTTTGGCAGCCTCAACTTTCCTGTACTTTCCTGCAGGCTAGCAGATCCCTCTCACCACAACAGGCAAAGACACAAAGTCCTGTGGGGCCAGGAGTCTGCAGGAAGGAGAATTGGCAGCCCAGAGATGCCAGAGAGCCACTTAATGGCAGTGAGAGCTTCACTGATACCTCTGAACAACCTGATGCTAAGGTGAAAGATAACAAGGCCCGGCAGGTTTAATGCTATGAAATCGAGTATGTGTGAACCAGACAAAAGCACGTGCCCTGGATGGCTTGCTGGCCACCCCATTGTATGCTCCTGGGGAGCTGCTTATTGGTGGAGTTCACATGGCACACTGACACACAGAAAAAGCAGAAGCAAATGAGGAGAGTTAATGCGGCACACACATTTCCAACCAAGACAGACCAGAATAAAATATGCATAAGCTCAAACTCCACTCAAACTTTTATATCTAATCATATGTAAATAATACAATTTAACTGTATAATTTAACTGTAAGTTGAATTATTCAGCATTGAGTTCTAATAAGGCATGTAAGCAGAGAACTGATAGCTTTGTGGCTGGTAATGAGAAGAGGCAAATTGTACAAAATACAGATTATTTTTGTAGTGACAGTAACTTCACAGGCAAAGGATAACAAGTGGAGAAATAGGCTGCATGTTTTACAAACTGGTCCCAATCCTGCATTCATTATGGAAAAAAAAAAAAAAAAAAGTATTAGCAAAATGTGGCCACAAATTCATATCCCCAGTATTCACCTGATTAGTTACTAAGATTAATTGCCACCTCCAAATAATTTTACTCCAGCAAGGAAGGCAGGCTACTCCTCTTCTATCCATCCATTAATGAATCAGAATCTTATTCTTTGGCAAAAGCAATTTTCTATGACATGTATTTCTACAAAAGAATTTAAGTGTTCCCAAACTTACAAAAGTGTCTTGTGGTTTACTGGAAATTGTACTAATGAAGCAAAGCCCACCAGTAACTCAGCTGTCAGGAGATGCCCCAAGTTGCAGCTCGCTGGAATGCTCTTCCTTTCAATTCAGGTCAGTAATATTACTTCTTGCTTTTAGAATTACACTGTTCATAGTGTTTGTATTTCAGAACAAATTTAGATCTTCTAATAGATGAAACCGTAAATTATCTAAGAGTAACAGAAGTCATAAAACTTAGTTGGGGAAAAAAAAAGAAAAACCAAACATTACTGATCAGCTGTATCACAAAAAATCTAATCTGTATTCAGACTGCAATACACAAACTCAGTTTTACAATTTAGAGGGTATAAACTTTAAAACAAATGCCTGCTATAGTCTAAATTCTGCCACATTTTTTCTCTTCTCAAGCAAGTTTTCTGTTGGCTTAATGCATTCAGTAAGGACTTCAGTAAGGATGGTAGAGATGAAGTGATACAGAGAATTATGTATCTTTATAGTCATTTGTTGGAAAACATTTGGTCCTAGTTTTGCATTCCAATATGTAGACTTGCTCACATGCATTATACGAGATTTTAATGCCACACTGTTTAACACAACTGTAACTCTCTTGAGTGGAGTTATTACTAAATGACATCAATAGCCATCAGAGCACAATTAGACTTGGTAACTTAAACATGGTTCTCCAAGCATAAGGTGTGCCTCTTTCATCTGGCAAAACTAGATGTTCCATGCTTTTCCAGCAGAGGAATGTGGAATACAACATGTACACACTATTTTAAATGAGATAATGATTTCTTTTAAGCTATTTGAATTGGTATAACATTTACGTCCTGGAGAGAGCAAAGAAGGTATGGCTTACTGTGGCTGACAGAAAGGATTGCTTTGAGGCTCTTCTTCAAAGGCCTTCAAAATTTAAGTTTGGCCTCACCAGGAAAAGTGTAAGTTCAGAAAGTGCCCTGATGTCCACAGTTCTCTTAAATGGCCTAACATTCTCTTTCTCACTCTTACAGATCCATCTAAGCTTCAGATGACACATACTACATTACTTTACCTGCCACTGTGTGAGTAGTTTTGGCAACACAGTGAAGACAAAGAAGTTTGCTTCTAACTATGTTTGAATGCATACAGGTGATGAATATTCGCCTAATTGATCAGACACTATCAAACATCCACTGGCTTCTTGGTCACTCTGCTCTGCCTTACATTTGGTATTAGGTGGTTGTGACATGACACTCACACAGGACAGGATGTAACAGAACTACAAAGCAAACAGAAAGCAGAGAATCCAACAGGACTTGCTGTACAGAATCCACTGTGTTAGCCCATATTTTAAGGGCAGTGCATAGATTTGGTGGAGAGCTCACCTCATAACGGGTGGCAAACCAGGGATAATAAAGCAAAGCGATCCACTGCAAATGCCAAAAAGAAATAACTCCAGATATGCACTGTATTACTTTACATCAGTGTGTCAGTGTACAAGATGAAGCCTGTTTAAGACTCTACCAGATCTTATAATCCTGTTTTATAATTAATTAGAAAACATGTGGGTGTCTTAAACTTAAGACAGCCTCTTTCCAAGTAATCAGGGTTAAGCTATATCAAAGATATATTTTTAAAAACAAACAGAAAGCCACATAAACTTCTGTTTTACCTATTAGGTAATGAGGACCACAAGTACACCAATCAGAAGAGGCAGGAGGTTGGCCAAAGAGGGCAGGCTGCATGGAATTGTAACAGACTGATCTCCACACAGACGATCTCACAGGTCTCCATCCAGAATACATCGGGGCATTTTTATCTGAGTTTTATTCCTGCCAGTGACTCAGAGGGAAGCAAGGAGTATTGTTTGCTGGATCTCTTGCTTTTTGCTGCTTTTTGTATAACAGGGACAACAAATACAAATGTGGCCTTTGTAAAGACTTTGGAGACCTGTGGAAAGCAGACCTACAGAAAACATTCTCCACCCAGTATCTCCTAGACACATCGCCATCACTTCCATCAGTATCTGGATCCAAGGGATTGCTCCTTTCCTGCCCCGAGCCTCAGCAGGCACATTCACCCTCTGTGCAAAACAAACACTTGTGCCAATGCCTTTTTTCAGCACGAGTCAGAGCATACAGATGCTCCCATTTGCGAGAAGCTGGGTGCTGATGGCTAGGCCCAGTGGAAAGGATGTACCCAAATTAAGCGGCCACTTCTGTCATGTTTGCCATGGGGACGAGCAGGAGGGTATTTTTAACATAAGGCACTTCCTCTGTCAGTCTGGCAAAGCCCAAGGTCGGTGACCTTCCAGACACAGTGCAAACACCATCTGTTTCCCCAGGAGATTAAAGATATTTAAGTGATGCAGGTGAGGACACTTTGTTTCTTTGGGACAGTTCATTGCTTTTGTTGTTACTAAACTTGATACGTGAAAACTTTTGTTTTCAAGCAATTGTCCATGACCTTTTTGAAAGATTTGACAGACCAAAAATCCCAACAACCATATAAGTGAAACACCTACAACCTGTGTCTACAATTTAGAGAGGAAAGAAATAATAAATTGATTTATTGTATCATTTCCTTCTATTAAAAAACAAAAAAACAAAACAAAACAAAAAACAAAACAAACTAACAAAAAAAAAACTGAAGTAAATTATAAATACATGAGAAGTTTTGGGGAAACTTGCCCTCTCTTTCCTCCCTGGAAACAGACCAATGTAATATAAAACAAATATGCAATTTTTTACTAGGTAAGTGGGCAACAGCTGATAGTCAAGGCCACATGCTGTACTTGCAAGGAGGTCTGGGAGGTCTGTCACTCTAGGTGATACAGTCAGCATTCCTTCAGAGGAGTATTTTATCAAACAAAGCCAACCATTTCTTATGCTGAACTGAGTGAGGAGTACTGTAAATCCAACCACTTTTCTAGCAAAAATAAGACAATTACGTGTGAGAATGAGATAAGTCCCAGCAGAAAAAATGCCCAGGTAGTGTGGACTCTGTATCTGTGGGACTTGTTGTTTCAGTCCATTTGGAAGAACTATAATATTCGCTAAACAATGCAACATGAAGTATGGGAGCTGCATTTTGCAGTAATGCTGGGAATTCACCTTTCACTTAAAGTAAGTACTAGAATGTTATTATTTTAAAACAAGCATAAAAATCCAGGTTATGCAAGCATAAAGCTCCACATTTTCAAAATTTATACACACTAAGGATCTGAGCATCAAGACTTACATGAACAAAGCATTCAGACACTGTCTGGACTTCTGCCAGCTAAGATAATTCACGTATTTCTGAGTACTAATACCCAGGCTGTCAGAAAACAGCACCACATACCTGGGGCATGCTTCACTGCTTATCTAGGAGAACAATTGTAATGAAGATAATAATTTCTGAGATGAGTACTCTGAAAAGCAAAGATGCTCCAGTTTCAGACATGCATGCTGTCTGTCTGACACCCTTCCAGCAACAATATGACTAAGAGCTGTCTGCTTGCACTCCGAAAGATTAAGGCATCTGGTGCCATCTGAGATGCATTATGGTCCTAGAGACATCCCCAGAGGGCTGCATGTGTCTGGAAGAGGTATAGGAGGCACCTGTCCTGCAAAGACAGTCAAAAACAAGCTGGTGTAATCCAGAGGATCTCAGATACACTGAATGCCTATACCTGAACAAATGAACTGAATGATTAGGTAGGCCAAAGGTAACTACTGTCTTTCTGGCTACTGGAAGGGGGAAGGTAATTTAGTAGCTGAAGATACATAATGTAAAGTAGGAATTTTCAGTGCAGAAGCTTAGCTTTCCTTGTAATATGTAAGGTTCTCATGTATCTAGTTAGCATCACACCAGTTTGACACAGACATCGTTACTAAAGGTAAATGACGGTTTTATTCTCAGTCACATTCCTGCTTCCTAAAAGAAGAATTTATTTCTAAAGACACGTATTCTTTGTCACCTTTGTACACCATGACTCTCTCTGAAAAAGCTGGTTGTTGTGAAGACTGCTACCCAGAAAAAGAGAGCATGGTCTTTCAGGTGTGTTTGGAAGCCTATCTGTAAAGTCAGTCCTGGAAACCAACACCAGATGGGCCAAGTAACCAGATTTGCATTGTCCACTGACTACAGAATGCAGACACACATCAGAGATAAACAGGACACTGAGGAGCATGTACGTGTGGCTGAAACACAAGAAGCTGAACCTTGAGGATCCAAGGCCAAAAAATCTCACAGGGCATTACACCTTCATGATGTTTATGACTATTTTCTTCAGACGTTAAGAGTTCAGCTGCCACAACAAATATCCTCCTCTTGAACAATTGTTCAAGAGATTTCAAGAATAGCAAGGGCAAAAAAAGGATGAAAATCGCCTTACGGGATTAGAGAAGACAAGAGCTTTCAAGATAAAGAAGTAATTAAAAAAAAAATCCATATTGGGTTAAATTGATCATTGAAGACGTGGTTTCTACAACATGCTAGTTGTGCTTACAGAGCTCAACATCCTATTTGAATATCAGCTGCTAGTATTTTACCTGTTAAGTAAAGATGATTGCTGCTGAGTGTGTATGTGAGGGAAGACAAAGATCAGTCTTGTAGCTCAATTTTATAGTTCAGTAATCTACTAGAACTGCCTGCAGGCATTTTATTTTTTTCATTGCGCTCTATCCTCTGTGAATGCCTTCAGAACTGGGTTTTAAAGTACTTAAAACCACCTAAATGCAAGAAGGACAAGAAGGACTTTGGCACATTAAGGGTATAGTCTAGTTAGGTCATGTTCTCCACCATCAACTCTGCCTCCTGTATGGAGTCTGCTTTGTCACATGAGGCTGGGATTTGCTCATTTGGTGTGCTCACACACTGCACTGGCGCTGTGGGAGGTAAGGAACAACAGCACCTCTGAGTCAGCCCACAGAGACATGGGCACTGGCAGAGGATTATACTCTGAAGAAGACTGTCAGGAGATGGACCACACAGGATCTATCCTTTATTTCAATGTGCATGGCCTGCGTTGATGCTCAAATATGTGTAACATTTGTGTGCATTTCTACCCAGTATTTTCACATGTAGCTTCTGATGAAAATAGGATGCTTATCTGTATGTATCATTATTTTTGTGGTTGTGATTAGTACTTGAAAAGCCTTACTATTCAGGTAACAGTAAAGATTTGCTTTGATTTTTTATATTGCATATGTAATATACATAGTTCTTAAAACAAAACAAACAAACAAACAAACAAACAAGATGAAACAGACTTGTCTCTCATTTCTCCCCATGAGATTCACTTATCAGTTCTGCATGAAGCTGGCATAAAAGTCAGTAAGCAGCAGTCCAAAAATATCTGACAATGAAACGGTGCGAAAGTGCTTCTAGCTGGAGCTTTAACCTTCATTTGAATCTCAGTCTTCACAGAATGCTGCAAGAACCATGATCAGGAATGAGAAGTGTTGAACCAGGGTGTCTGTGAACCCTAGTTTGGAGAGGGACTCTTCCTCCAGCTGCCCACCACAGACTGCCCCCAGAATACAGTACCAATGACAAAATGGTGGCTCTACTCACTGAACGTTCGGACCACATCGCTCGGCGTGCTGGCAGGGCTGGATCCATAGGAGTTTGCTGCTCGCACTGCGAACTGGTACTTGGTATTTGGGAGAAGTCCCTTGAGCACCATAGATTCCATCTGGATCTGCTCTCTTATTACCGTCCAATTGCTGTCAAGGTCTGGCCTTCAGGGTTAAAAAGAACAAGATTGTAAATAGGTAAGGCTGGCTGTATAAATTAATTGCCTTTAAACTTTCCAGGGAAATACATAAAATAAATGAGATACAACCTGCAAAATCATGACTGAAATCCTTAATTCTTAAGAGCCAGACTGTGCAATCATTACTTAACCTGTGACATGGAAAGACTGCAGTACAAAGTGATAGAAAAGAAATATTCTGATTTTGCCTATAAAGCAAAGGAGGTGGTTTATTCGATAATTTGAAAATTAGCTTCTGTTTGTCTGTTTTTGTGGATTTGGAGCTCACAGTTTTCAAAAGAGGGGACGTCACCAGCAGGTCCCCATCTCCTCTTCCGCAGCATAATACTATTCTTTGCAATGGAAGAGGAAAACATCTGATTTATTTATAAGAGCTGTACTCTAATGCTTCAGAGACCACCTTTCAAATGTACAAAAGCATTAGCAGAATCGGAATCTAATTTTAATTTCCCAGGCAGTGAGGTTAATCTTCCCCACACTGGAAAATCTGGATCCAAAGTCTTCTCCCTGGAAATGACAAAAGAACTGAATAATAATGCAGAGAACCTGGCCTTTGCAAAAATATTTTCTTAGCCCTTGGGCCACACCTAGATAGGTCTTGACTCGTACTGGAAATCAGTGACCAACAAATGTCTGTTCTGTATACATTACAATCCAGCTGAAATCCGCACAACCATTCACTTGGTTTGGTCTCAGCACGAATGTAGGAAAACTAGAAATGCTTACGTTCGTCTACAAAGGGATATGTGAAGGAGAAGGCTTGCTTCAAACACCTTGAGAGAACGTTCTAAAGCTTTCACACCATTTCTGCTTTCACTAAAGGAAGTCTCGTCAAGAAGAAAATTGAATGAGAAGGTAAATGAATGTAAACAAAATCAAAACATAAACATTAAATCCAGAACACCTAAAATATTTAAATTAAAGCCTATGAAAGTAAAATAGGGAAAGAAATGACCTTTCTGAGAAAGTCATTCCAGTGCCTGTTTCTAAGATGTCCTTGTGGTATTTATTACAGGAAATAACCTCCAAGTGCTCCCTGAATCTACTGATGTTTACATAGGACTAGCTGCAAATGTTTCCAACAGCCTTCCAGTGAATATTTTAACATGAGGCAGGCATTTTGTATTTGTTTATTTGCAGCTGGAAGGAAGTGCCAAAATTAATGTATGTTTTATTTTATCAGTCAATACAAGATTTTGATCACTGAGGTTTCACTCCTTTGAGCCAGCAGGGCAAGTGTACTGATAAAGCTGTAGCACCCAGCTGCCTGACTCCTACACAGTGGCACGCTGTGCCAAATATTTTACTGTCTCACTAAAAATAAACCTAAAATAAGATAAATGTGCAAGATGCAATGATGGCTAAACAGACCATCCTCAGTCACCCTCCATCACCATTTCCTGGTAGACAGGAGGACATTGATGTTGGCCTCTCTGTCACTGTTTCCCTTTTCTGAGCTTTTGATGCCCAGGCCAAAATGAAAACTTTTAAAGTCTTTTCCAAATGAAAGCTGTTAATATCGCTTCTGTCCACATGCTCACTTTGCAGCATGTTCTCAGTTTTCCTACACACATCTTTTTTCCTGCTCTAATTGCAACAGAAAGGATTCCTGCCCATTAAAAAATGGCCTTCAAGCTGCTCTGTAATGCACCCTGCCAGTATCAGTGCCGAAATGGGAAAAGCCCAAAGGAGATACTACTGCCTTTACAGATAGAGGAGAAAATGTCACAACTTCACAAACAGCAGGCTAGTCTTCAACTTCACTGTCTTTCAAAAGACTTCGTTCTACAGAAATGAATAGCAGAGGAAATGTCTGCAAGTGTGTAAGTCTCTGCTGCTGAAGGAGAGGAAAAAAAAGAGATTTATCACTTGAACTTTGCTATTTCTCCAGAACATTCCCTGTGTGAACAAATCGGTACAAGACTATAAAATGGCAAACAGATGGAGAGAGGAACACAGTGAACTCATACTCTCAGGGCAGCCAACTCTTGTGTTTTCTAAGCTTGGAGCTTTTTGCTGAATTTCACTTCAAGTCAACTTTTACACGAGGAGGGCTCATCTTGATGCCTCTTTCTCATCATCTCACAGAGATATCTCCCCTGGGTCAGTAGAGGTTTGTCTCCAGCCAGGACCTTGCAGAGCTGTTCTGGGTGATGTCTCTGTGCACGACACATTTTCTGCTCTGGAAGTACAGCTGTGCATCTCCATACCAAAATATGATGCAATAAGAATCTGGTCAATGACAGAGTTGGAGTGGTTGGAGTGTTTTTAAAATAATAGATTTATAGGTAAAGTCATTAGGACTGAACAGATATAAACTGAGCGCGGAACTCTGTCCCAGCTATGCCCAAAAACATTTGGATTTTTGCTCTACATTGTTTGGGGATTTGTTCAGCCCAGAAAGGAAATATTTCTGATGTGGAGAACAGTAATGTTACACTCATTTGAGCTTTCTCTTAAAGATCAACTGAAAATTATTCAAGAGTGAAATGCCTGATCAATTTTAATTAAATTAATCAGTTTCACAAGGTTTTTGATTGCTTACTTGTGCCATGTTTCTATTCATGATAAGTACCATGTTCAGCCTACAAAATGTTTTTTAAGATATACCTATACATTACAGTCTTTATTTAGTATGGAAAATATTCAGTGTAGAAAATAATGCACCACATGATATTATTTTTAGTATTTATTTACCTTTGTTATGACACCTTCTATAAAACACTCTAAACAATATACCAGGTCAATTGAGGAAAATAACAAAATAAATAGACAATATTCTAGCCTTATTCTTTTGTAAAATGTTATGCTGACATCATTAAACATTTTTACTTCTACTATTTCTTTTTCTTCATTAATTATCTTTTCAGGTATTTTGCCCTTTCAGACTGTGAGGTAAGAGTAAAACCAGAAGTATCTGTTTCATGAATTAACCAGAAAAACTGTAAAAAAATAAGGGTTTTTTGCAGGGCTTTCAGAGGAGTGTCCCCATCAGAACTGTTGTTTTGGGTTCTGTGAAAGTGAAAGCAATAATTGAACAACTACAACATTCATGGTCTGGAAGTTCACAGCCAAGTTACTTAAAAATTACAATTTCTGTTGTACATAAAAGTATAACAGTCCTGTGTTCAACACTTTTCTAACTATAGGTCAAAAAGACTTGTATATTCAAAATGTTTCTACTGGGAAAGAGCCAAGCTTTGCCTTAGATGCTTTTAACAAGCTTCAGCATGAGATATTCAAATATGACAACCCAATATATTGCAGCACCAAGGACAGACAGTTCAGAGCAGAATGGATTCAAGGATAATTAGACATCTGGGTATTCAGGTGAAAATATCTGACATTTTTGAGAAAGCTCTTTTCAGTATCTTATGAATAGAAACACAAATTACATTAAAGCCCAGGATGTTGCTATGTAGACTTTCATAAGATTTTTTTTTAAAATAAAATATTTTTAGCATAAACCATTGGAAAATTTACATTGAGCTTGAAAGCATTGAGCTTCCAGCAATCCCACGAGTTCTCTCAATTTCAACATATTCTTTTATGCATTCCCCGTGAACTGTGTCGATAAGAGTAAGGCCTATATTCACATTCTGATCTTAAGCACTTAACTAAGCTGAGAGTGTGGTCTCCTTGGGATTCTCCTATAGTCAAGAGCAGAGCAGAGCTTACCCCTGCCCATAACACATCTGAAATCACCTATGGCCTTCTGCTGCCTATAGCAAACTAAAATGTGCAAAGTTTCCTCCCAGGGAAACCGCGCAAGTGCCAAAAAAAGGCCCAAATTGAGACCTCAGGCAGAAGGACACATTATCTCTGAGAGTATCCCTAGGAGAATTTATCCTTGCTTCTGATGACATTCTGGTAGGTGCAAGCAATTAACGAATTAAAGTCCGTGAGTTTTCAACACCCACTATCACAATTGTTGAAATAAAAAGACATTTCCTTCATCTCAGTCTCTCAGCATGGTTCCTATATGGTCAAAGTAATAGAAGTTGGTCCTGAGGGGCCTGAAATGATGCAAACCATATCATAGTTTCTAGAGGCTTTGCTGCATCCACAAAAAAGTTACAGATTTGCATTGTTATTAATTTTGCAGAAAAAACTCAGTGTAATATCTGAACTGTATTTCTTTAGCATCAGAAGACTTAACTCTAAATTTGTTTGCACTGTTTTGTTCTAGTTTTTCATTGGTTTGATTTCAACAGCTTTAACTCATGTTAATGCTCTTCATACTAGTTAAAACTACATGGAGCAAAATACAATGAAGCTTTAAGTTAAATCTTTATTTCTAACTGCATTAGGGCTTACAGTGCTTTGAACCTTCTCCAAATACATACTCAAGCTTCCAAGTCTAAGAGAGCATAATCCCACATTTAACAAGAATACTTTAAAACTCAAACTAAAGAGTATAATCAAAACACTGTGCTGTTAGCAAATTCTTTCCCAAAGTCTAAAAACAACAAAACACTGAAATTTCAGTACCTCATATGTCTTACTTAAATGGTGAAGCAATTTTCTGCTCTCCATCTGAACAAAAACATTTAAAGGTGTGCTTTCAACACATGAAATGGAAACAGTGATGCCCGCTTTACACATTAGTGGGCCCCTGGTTCTACGATGATGTGTAGACTCTATTTTACGGTAAGAGAACACACGTGTCTGATGTACTTGCAGTCAGAATCTAACAAAATCCCCTTCCTATCCAATGAATAGATAATCATTAAGAGATGAAGAGAAGAGAGAAATGGCTAGAAAACAATTACTGTGGAGAAATAGATATTGGAAAAATTACATGGTAATTCCTCAGCAGAGGTTACATGATGACCATAATGCATCTTCAGCCTTCATGCCCTGCATCTCACTGCAGTGAATACTGGGTGGTTTCCCAATGAGTATGAGGCATTTTGATTCCAATACAAAGTCCAACATAAGTTCACTAGTGGGTTTTCAACTTGGGAATTTTTCGCACTGTATCAGTATCTTCTAGACTGTAATCATACTTAAAGCACTGAAAACCAATGGTTTTTTTCCTGTTGGTTTTTACAACAAAAAATCTTTTTAAAAATGAGCGTCTTTTTTTGAAGAAGTACTTAATGACCTTTACCGCTTAATACAGATAAAGAAGCAATTCTCTGTTCTTGTGCAGGAACCTCAAATAAAATCTGTCATCACATGTTTGTTCAAAGTGTTAAACTTCCAAAAGCTGAATTTTGCGCTCAAAGTAGGGATAAACAGAGGAACCAGCACATGAAAATAAATAAGATTTGAATACAAATATTAGATTCCACAAGTATATGAACAGCAAGGTATACATACTTATTTATGCGTGCATATACAATCACCTGCTCCTTACCTTTTGCATGCATAAAGCAACTTGCCTAGCAGCTTTTCACAGTTTAGAACTATTACTACAAAATGTAGAGAGTTCTACATAAAAACAAAAGCAAACCAAAACAGCACAAAACACCCAGAGATTAAAGAAAAGTCAATACTTCATGGACAGTTGATCAATGCAGGGATAAAACAACAAATCAGAGTCCTGCAACTCAAGACTCTTCACACTCCTGTCAGTTAAACCAAAAAAATGAGTCTTCAGCCCCTGGATTTTTTCCTATAGCAGCCAAAGGCACATTTGCTCAGGGAGACCCCTCTGCCACAAACTCTTCACTCAGCATGATTCAACAGAAGTTGATGACAAGAGAAGCTTAAAACTTAATTTACCCAGGCTTTTATTAGATGAAATATATTAAACTAGACTTTTTTTTTCTTTCATCAGAAGATAGGACTTACTGGTGATTTTATATCAATTTTGATTATTTCTAGATTGCCTTCAAATTTTCATGGTAATTCAACACATATCGAGAGTGAAACCTAACATACTATATACAGTAATAAATAAATAACAAGAAGAATCTGTAGTCAGTTTGATAGCGCAGTTTAGGAAAAAAAAAAGACAAAACTACAGCACATCACCACTGAATTTCAGTTTCCACTGACAAACTTGCCTGATAAACTCCACCATGTAGTATTGTATGGGAGAGCTTCCTTCATTGGCCCCAGGTTTCCAGGATAATGCAACTTCTGAATCAGAAACAACAACAATCTGGGGCTGATAGGGTGGTGCAGGGGGCATGCAGTTATCTGTGCCAGAAGAAATGCAGAACAGCATTAGAGAAGTGAATTGACTTATATGCACAGCAATCCAAATTCACAGACTTAGGAATCAAATTTATATGCTTCTTCCCTCCCTTGTTGCCCCTGTAAAACTCCACATTTGTGGAAAATTAATAGCAAAGTACTGCAGTGCTGCATGTAAAAGGGACTTAGGTGCAAGTGGCCTGCTGTGTGACAGATGCGCTAGGGCTAATGCGAAAAAAAACCTTACCTTAAATGGTCTAGCAGGAATTTATTAAAGATTCATAACATCAGATGGCTATGAATCATATAGGTTGGAGAACTCCATTAAGATCACCAAGTCCAATCACCAACCTGACCTACCAAGTCCCATCACCAAGCCATGTCTCTCAGTGGCTATTTCAACACGTCTCTTAAATACCTCTGCTGACAGGGACTTGTTTCTGACCACTTTGCTGCTAATCCTGCCCCCCTGTTCACTCACTGCTTTGGGCAAATTGAGAATTTCACACAGTCAGCATTTACGGGTCAAGCTGATCCTGCCCTGACAGCTTCACAATAGAAAGCAGAGTTACCTTGGGATAAGGTTGTGACATCTCTGGGCATGCTGGGTCGTCCCTTCCCTGCCCAGCCATAGGCTCCAACACTAACGCGATGTGGGGTACCAGGTTTCAAATCTCCAATAACAACTTCCTACCAGAGTCAAGAGAAAACAAGACAAAAACAACTGCAAGAGTCAGTGGAATCTGACACGATGTTTTCCATGCAGCCTTCTGGGAGGACTGCTGCCTTCCAGCCCTGCTCTGAAAAAAAACACGAAGGTCACCATGTGCTTCCTCTCAAGCTGCATTTCCACCCCTGGGGAATCCATAGGGCAGATCTGGACCTACTTCTCAGCATAACTCTCAGGGCTGTTTGTGCCCCTTGTCATGCTTTTGCTGGTCAAGTTGAAGTCACGTACTATTCTCTCCCTTGAGCCGATTGCTGGCCTTTATTATCAGCATGGTGCATTTTTCATTTTTAAAATTTTTATTTTTTAAATTGAGACCATAGGAACTTCTGAAAATAAAGCAATTTAAAGCCGTGTGAACTGACAATCTTGAATTTCTCATAGAGCAGAGCCCAGTCTCACCGCCTCTTACGATACCCCTAGCTGGCTGTTCACTTCATGCTACCAGCCTTGACCACTCACCTTTTTTGTCCTTCTGCCATAAACACAGAAAGATTAACCTACAAACAGCTACCATGTGGAAGGCAATGCTGTCCTCCACAGGAACTTCTGCAGAATATTTTTCAAAGGAGCCTGCTAAACTCTTCCAGAAAGTAGATAATGTTATCAAAAAAATACATGCTTAAAAATACTTACATAAAAATGCAGAGTTCTTTACATGTAGCCTATCTGTAGATGAAAATCCTAGATTTATTAATTTTGACAGCACACTCAAGTAAACAGTTTATATGCCTCAGATTGCTTTGCTGTGAAAAAAATGCATTTACAGAGAATTGTACAGAGAATAATTTTTTTTCACTCTCTGATATTAAAAACATTATTCACAGAGCACGTGGAACTATCTCACTTCAAGCTCGAACAGACTTTAAATCTGCATTTCCAGTTGCAGCAAAATAGTAAACAATCCTAAAATTTTATTATCTGCTAAATGTCTTCACGACGGCCTTTTGGACAAACTTTCCCTTTCTGTTCTTTGGGGAAGATATTTCATTACTAGAACATCATTTAACAACACCCTGCCATCTGTCATTTCACTAGCCATGGTTTTGGAACTCCATCACTGATTTCCTATTAACAAAGACTGTCTGGCCATTATCCTGTTTTTCCATCCTTCACCCTTAATCTGCTTGAATGATTTGGATTCATCTGAGATGACAACAATTCTGAAAAAGTAACTTCCCCGGGAGAATTAGTGAGAACATTCAAATGAAAGTATTTATCTATTTAGCTGAAGTGACTGCAATCGTTCCAAATATGACCTGAAACGATGGCTGCTGAAAACCTGTCACCTCCGCCCACTAGCAATATTGATGATCCTGCCACTCTACCCACCTTGTCATATATACTGTCCATCTGTACTTAAATTGTGTGCACTGTGTTCCTGAAAGCACCTTATAATAAAAAATCCTCTGTTACATGTCTGATTCTCTGATTGCTTTCATGCTATTCAAGAACTTGTCCTCAGAAAATAGTGAGATATTCACATATATTTGGCTCTTAGCTATTGCTTCACAAGTCAAATGTGCAATAAACTAAACAGAACTAGCCTCATTGACTACAAAGCCAATCAAAATAAAAGTTTGACTGAGGTATTTAGGTTCAACATATTTATTCTCAAAAACCACAGTAAACTACTCTCTTCTGCTTTTACTTAGGAGAAAGGTGTTAAAGTTTGATGCATCTCGAAGGAGACAACAGCCTCACAGACAGGGAATTTTGGTGCTGTATTGAAAGGTTAGCTCACAATCATTGCATCTTATTCCTTCGCTATCTTGAGCATCTCCTGCATTTTGAAACATGACACACAAAACTGAACACTACATTCCTGATGAAGCTTTATTAACATCGACTGCACTTTCTTGTCTTACATGACACTCATACTAAAATCCTGCAGAATGATATCTGGCAGTTTCATTACAATCTCACCTTCTTTAACAGTGTGAAGCAATGTGATGCCTTTTCTGCAGCATGGGAATCAAGTGCAGGCATGGATTGTGCCCTCCCTGCCTTGTGCTCCTGCCAGCTGTGCTGAACCTTTTTGTGAGCTGCACTCGAAGTCGCTTCACAGAAACCTGGATTATAAATTATTTTCCAGATAAAGTCTATTTTCCCTTTTGTTTGGTTTTAATTTGAAAAAAATGAACCAACAAATAAGAAACAAAACCCACATGGAGTAAAGTACTGCTGAAGAAGCAGAGCTGGTTGTGATGCCATTTGGTCCTCCTACCAACCCTTCCCCACTCTCAACTGCTCACTCTCCATTTTGTACCTGTGTGTTTGGCTATCTTGTAGGTCTTACGACCTAAAAAGCTCCCACTTCTAAAGCGTGCTAATTGTCCTTGCTTTTATATATACATATATCTATGTGTGCGCACAACTTCATGTATACTGGCCCAGCAGAACAAAGCTTTAGTAAATAGTACTGCTCCAGCATTCTACAGACTGCTGTCATGTATGCATTCTATATGTTAGGATGATGCAGTGCAGATACAAGACACCATCCACTTTGCTCATGCACAGGCACATGCACACACACAAGAAGAGCCAATCTCTCTACAACAGTCTCATGGGGTCCAGAGAAGTTTCTGAGAAGGCAGCAGAATTGTACCCACACCAGCAGAGGAGGCTTAGTGATGGAAACACAAATTATGCAGACTTAACCACAAAGCTTTTGCAGATTTCTGTTGCGTTTGGTATGAATATAACAGAAAGTATTTCAGCAAGAACACCACTTCCTGGGGATTAATGACAGCTGGGAGCTGATTAATCCCAGTCAGTCACATTCTCCACATGTACCCCTCACAAGTGTTATTTTTATCAAGCAGAAAACAAGGGCCCAGCCTGGAACTTCAACTCCAAAATGCCGTAATCCAAACTCAGGATTGAACCAGACAGCCGTGTCTCAGGCGTGTCCCGAGGTCTCATCTGGACAACCTCCTCTCAGCCCAGCCTCTCTTAGTTAAGACAGTGAAAGCTGTGCCAGACCCACTGACTTCACTGGATTTCTTCATTTTTTAACAAATCTCAGGAGAAAGAAAAATGCAGGAGTTTGTTGATATTTCAGTGCTTAACTGAAATCCCTGCCTTTATCCTACACAAAGCCAAGCACCTCCTGCTAACTTCCTCCTTCACAATAAGACCAATCTGTTTATTGCTCATCGGAAGCAGAATGGACAGGGCTGGAAATAATTAATGTGAATCGCTCACCAGCTGCAAACTCATTTCAGACCTATTTTATAAGAGCTGTCGGTCTCCCAGTCCTCCTCCTGGACATCAGCACTTCTGTCCTCCCCATCTCTTCCTCCTCGCCCACTGTTGGGCTGCTGTCCTTCCCATTGTTGTGTGTCTGCCAGCCTTGCTGTCCTGGTTTCCTCTAAATTGTCACCACCTGAATATAGCTGATGTTTTCTTAAACAAGCAAAACATCAACAAACACTTTGAAAGACTGAATGAAGATTTATCTATCATTAAAAATGGAACTGCTACACCCAGTATATACAACTATATATAACTGCTATACCCAGTACATACACATGTATGTATGCTATACATACATGTGTGTATACACATTCCCCTTATTTACCTCTGGATTTTGAGCTCTAGTCACTACTTTGACTACAAAAGATCCTGTCTAAGTGCTAACTAGAACCAACATTAGAGATGAATAGGGAAATATTTTTGAGGCTGAATCTATGGAAAGCTCATAGCAGATAAGTTCTATCTTATTTTAAATCACAGCTGTGACTGAGCCTCAGGTGAAGCAATACTTACAAAAATTGCTTGTCCTTCAAGTTGACCCTAGAAAAAATGAAAACAGGATTTGTTAATGAAGTAACACACTAAAAAGAGATTGCAAATACACATAAGTAATGGGTCAGCAAACAAAAACAAGGTCAGTGCTGCATCATAAGGTGTTATTTGAGTCTATTATTTACTTGCATGAGTACAGACTCTTTTTGCAGGGAGTAAGAATTATCATTGTCAGGATAAAGACAATAAAAATGTGATGTTTGATCTTTATTGGCATTACCAGCAAGAATGCTATTTGATGGATTGAAAAAAATAAGTGAGAAATACAGAGATAAAGATGAGAAGGGAGAAAATAATGTGTTAATCAATAAATAACATATCATGGCCACAAGATACTTTCATTTGCCATGATCCCAGAAACCTACAGGAGTCAGAGCCAAAACTGAGTGACTGCTGGAAATCTGAGCAACTCTCTCCCCGATGCTTCCTACAGGGAAGACTGCTGAGCATGGCCCAACATGGGCCAAAGAGAAGCAGTGAATGTATATCATGGAACAGCAGATGGGAAGGCTAAGGAAAAGAGAGGTGAGAAAATAAAAAAGAAAGAAAATGAGAGAGGAAGAAAAAGTCAAATTGTAAATAAGAACCACAAAATCAAGACCCTGCAATGCTCTATACGCACACATAAGGTTTTGATTCCTGTGCTGGTAGTGTTGTTGTCTTGGGGACAGACTCTGCTCTTTACAGAGCGCATTGTGGAAGTGTTCCCTCACTGCATCTGCCCCAAGATGCTATTCCAACCTTTGCCTGAGCCAAGGCTGGAAAATCACTGATTCTTCCTTGTTGAGCTCAAAGAGCAGGTTCCCGCCACTGAGTGGATGCAAGTGTGCTTCATAAGATCTTTTTAAAAGCAGACAGCATTAAAACCATCTAGAAGCACAGAGGGATCGCCTTCATCTCAGCACTAATTGCAGCAGAAGAGCATGGGCAGCATTCCTTTGTGAGTGGAAATTGAAGGTCAGATTGGACAGAGAAAGCAGAGAGAAAAATAAGAATGTAGAGGGCAGATAAAAGGAAAAACAGAAAAGTAAAACAGCCAAAGAAAAGTGGAAAAATAGGAAGCAATGAGAAAAAGTGCTTGTAAGAACCAAAGAAATGGAAGCTAAGAATCTTCTATGGGAGAGATTTGCACAAATGCAACAAAACAGCATGATTAATCTTTAAATTCCATCCTTTGGGAGACAACAGTCTCACAGAGATATAAAAAGAAAACATTGAAAACTACTTGTCCCCTTTAACTCTGTGCACTCACTCGTCTGTGCCAGACGCTGCAATATACACACACTGATATACAGGCTGCACAAATCCCCCTTCCTGCACAAAAGCGCACATTTGAACTTAAAAGTTCTCTTTCAGTAGACACCAGAGGTCAGTACTAGTAAGATACCAACAACTTCCAAAATTTTATGTAGTAAGTTAGCCCAACAATGTGGAGAAAATTGTGTCGGTCCTCTGAGTGGGTTTCTGAAAAGCTTTGTGGTTTCTTTTTTGCTCAGTGCACCTATCCTCCATGGGGCTCCGATCCTCCATGTAATTCACATCAAACAGGGAGCTGCAACTTCACACTTGCACGTTCCACTGTTCTGCTCTGACTGCTGATGAACACTCACCATGCTCAGCATATCCAGGCTCAGGGGAACGTCGTGTGAGAGCTGCTTAACTGCTTTGTCACCTTCAACCTCTGAGTAGAAGACCTTGCAAAGAAGATACAGTTTAAGTGATTAATGCAATAATGCAGTACTGTACAATGATTTAAAAACAACTGCAATGTTATCACTTTCTGAACAGCAGTTAAGTCTGTGATTCCCTACACTTTCAAAACCCATGAAAAGCTAACATCCCTTAATATTACCTTAATATTTGGTAGAAATCGTCAGCATGACCAGAGGCCACCGTCTTGCAGTGTTTATGCTAATCTTATGTTAAATATGGCCCAGCTTTTGGTGCACTCTTGAGCTGATCTGTGTACCTGCTTTGGCCATGATCTATTTGGACAGCTGTTGATTTGTGGGACTGATCTGCACAAGTTTGGTGTTTTACTTCATATAAAGAAGATGTTATGTATGTATGTATGATCATGCTACTACCAAAATTGCTGTGTCATAAATGTCTTCCTTCACGTCTACTGTTGCATACAGGAGACTAATGAACCAGAAATAATTTCATTTCGTATGCAAACAGACACTGAGATGCCAGAGAGTCAAATGATAACATAAAGTGAAGAAGGTTTGCATACAGCACAATTAATACTAGGTTTGTCATTGCTTTCGTTATTAGATCATGCATGAGCTCAAGAGTTAAAAATAAACTGGGACATAAATATTTCATCTACTAAATGAATAGTGAAAAATACAATTTGTGATACGGAGTTCTGTTAGTACTGCTTTGAAAAATATTGCGACTTAGAGAACCATCACTTAAACTGGCAGAATTTGCAAGTAGTCAGAGTCCCTTTTTTGGAGCTGACACCTGAACTATTAGCAATATTCTCACACTCACCTCTTCTGCGACTTCCACAGTTCTGTGTGCTGCATTATGAGCATCTTCCTAACTATAGAAACAGCTCTACAATTGGATTGGATTAGTGTCATCTACATGACCATGTGATGAAGGGGATGTGTATCAAAAATAACAGTTTCTAGAAATTCACTCACTCTCCTATTGTATGTTACTACTAAGGTTCACCATGTATGCTTTGTGTAAAACTGAGTATTGTGTTCTGTTCACTTTTACTGAAAAATCTGAATCTCTTCACTGACAAAACAAATAAAAAGTTCCAATCTTTTTCATGCTAATTCCTCTCTGATTAACATCTGTTTGGCTACTGAGTTTCATTGCCCTGGAATAGCAATTGAAGGAAAATCCAATGAACCTCTTTTTTGTTGAGAAAATGAATGGCAATTTGTGCCCATTGTTTTCTGTTTGCACTTTCAAATAGTGCCCAGTTTAGGCTAGCCACTCTGTTACTGCTCAGTGTGCAGAGGGGAACTGGGAAAGGGTCTGAAAGCTCCAGAACTGCCGGCTGAAACAGGAAAACCAACAGCTTCTCTGAGAGAGAAGGGTAAAGAGGTAAAGAGGCAAAGAGACAGATTCTGGAATAGTGAGTGCTGCTAAAGTACTGCTCAGGCTGGAGGTACAAACCTATGGATCCAAACAGTCCTAAAATCACCACAGACCTCCTTTCATTTGCACAGTGTAGTATTGACCTGCTCTGCTGTACTTCATTGCTTTATCAGCTGCAGAGAGCATCGAGACGCTTTCATGGAAGCCACTAAAGGAAAGCAATCTATACCCAGTATAAGCCGCTGGCAGCCAACCCAAATTCCCATCATAGCTCCCTTTGAACATGCAAACTGCCTGTTTCTTAAAGTTACAGTTCCATCAGTCACCCGTTCCCTGAACACCTTCCTGGCAATAGCATTATTTTTGGAGAGCAGGCTGTCATGCTTTGCTCTGCTGTGCATGTGCAGTTTTGAGGCTGCTCTCTGCTAACAGCATAAGGGATCACTTACTGTATATCCTGTGATGGTGCTTGCGTGCTGCTTTGGCATCCTCCATTGCACACTGAAAGCTGTGCAGTTCAGCGAATCCAGCAGTATGTCTAGAGGAGGTCCCAGTCTATCTGCTGAAAACGAAAAGACATTATGTAAGAATCCATAAGGCAGAAAAATGATCACGTGGCATCAACTATTCATAAAGAGTCGTGTGCTGCCTTCTTTAAAAACTGCTAGACATGAACTGCTATTTGTGTGTCACAGAATCACATAATCACGGAGTCACAGAATCTCAGAATGGTTTGGGTTGGCAGGATAGTAGAGTCCACCCAGTTCCATCCCCTTGCTGTGTGCTGGCTGCCCCCACCAGCTCAGGCTGCCCATGGCCCCATCCAACCCGCCCTTGAGCACTGCCAGGCGTTGGGCACTTCAGCTCTCTGGGCAGCAGTGTCAGCGCCTCACCGCTCTCTGAGTAAAGAAGCTCCTTGTAACATCCAACCTTGATATCCCTTCTTTTAGTTTAAAAACATTGCCCCTTGTCGTGTCACTATGTGTCTGTATAAAAAGTCAGTCTCCCTCCTGTTTATAAGCTCCCCTTAAGTACTAGAAGGCCTTCTGACAGGGTGCACCCTTTCCCTTGCCCCAAGGCAGCAAGGAATGAAAGGACTGAGGAGGGGGGAGGACATCCCCTGTTTGTGCTAAGCATCTTTTCTCACCTCAGAACATCTTGTGGACACCTCATCCACCAGGCCTCATATTCCCACATGTTCTAGTATGGGAAAAACTAAACCAAGACCAAACCATGCCCCATCCTCAGCCCTTTTCTGTTTTAGCACAGGCTGAGAAACCTTCCTTATGGGCCATCAAGAAATCTCCTGATGACTACCAACCTCTGATGCCTCAGTCCCTCAGTCATCAGCTACAGATAGGAAAGCCAATTGCTTAAGCAAGAAGCTAAGTTTATAAGAAAAGCACAAATATGCCCTCAGTTCCTCCCAGTCCCTAAGCTATAGCGGTTGGTTCGCTCCTCTTGAACCTCTCAATATTGTCATATGGCTATTCCGATCTCACAGGACCTCTCCATATCCTTCTCTTTTCTTTGCACGCTTTGGCCTTTCAGTACACTGGCAAATTTGGCTGCTTTAAAGAAAACACTGGAAGATCAGAAAACCCTGAGATACATTTCTCTAGTAACACATAAATGCCTGCATTTGCTGCTTGAGAAAGGGACAGGCAGAGATGGTTGTCTGCTCTGCAGCCAGAGCAAATGTGGCTCAACACAAACCTCACGCTGCTACACAGGGGACCAAGGCACTCCTCTAGAAGTTCCCAGTTTTCAAATACATACAGTTTCTTTGGTGGAACTGTCAAAAACTCTTATCAATTAACTGAAGATAATTAGCTTTAAAGAAAAATAAATAAAAGCACATGATCACTAAGAGCAGCTTTGAGGAGAAACTCTCCTATTTCTCATCAGGCTGGGGACATCTCAGTTCAGTGTGGGCAGAGCAAATTATGAGGGTGCTGCAAACATGGAGCAGGGCATGCCAAAAAATAAAAAATCCTAAAATGTCCCAGAGAAAGCAGCAGCAGCAGGATACCTTTCCTGGCTGATGAGATACAGACATGTGTTCGGAAGCCGCCATAACACTCATCTTGTGATCTAAGGCAGCAACCTCCCAGCCGGAGCTTGTTGACAATGAGAATTGTGCAGTGCATGCAACAGGTTACCAGGATCAAGGATTTTAACACAAACTGTCCCAACTGCTATCATTCGTGGGCTTGAAACCAAACTCATGAAACAAACAGCTGCAACAGAGAATTGATTTAAATTTTAATGTTTTAAATGTTTTAATGGCAGCTCCATGTTTTCATAGGCAATGGTTTTTACTTTACTTATGTTTTTGTATGCCCTTACTTAAACAAACTGTAATTAAAGGGCATCTTTTTTTCCCCACTAATTCTGATAAAAAATCAAGAACAATCAAGCTATTGTAAAGGTAATTTTTAGATGGGAAGCACGCCTACAACTGATTTGTCATTCCCACCAACATATTTGATTTGAACTAGAATACAAAACATAGCAGCTTACAATCTCTGCAGAGTATCAATCAACATCAATACCTGAGAAGTTAAACCAAAAGCAGACCTGATAGTCTTGCCCTTTTCATGCTGACTCTCTATTTTCCCTTGATATGAAAAGCTGTTTTACAGTTTTAGTCTGAATGAACAAGTACGACCAGGTTAATATTTGGTTAACATCAAAAGCTCATTGTTTTCAAGTTCCCCATTACTTTCAAGTTACCTATAACTTTCAAGTTACCAAGTTACTCTTCTCCAGTAAAAAAACCCAAGACAATGTTGGTACGATCATGAAAGGATAACTATAAATGAAGCTTAAGAGAGCCATCCTTCTTTCCCTGTTCATTCCTTACACCTGAAGCTTTAGGTATTCTTAGTGGAAAATAAATCCCAAGGACTCCCGGTGGTTATGTCCCGGGCAAAACTGCACAAAAACTTCTACACTGGGACCACACTAAGAAATTTTCTTTTACTATTGAAACTATACAGGAAAAGAAATACCAACCAACCAAATGAACAAACATACAGCTTCAGGAAAAGGCACAAGCCAGTTGTATGTTACTGGCTTACATCTCCTACGCGCCTAAGGATCTTGCTTCTCAATAAATCCTGAAAACGAAAATGCTCTTTAGCATCTACAAGAATGATTTAAGTTGGAAGGAACATTAAAGGCCATCTAGTTCCAAACCCCTGCTGTGGGCAGAACCACCAGCCACTAGATCACTCTACCCAGGATCCCATCCAACCTGGCCTTGAACACCATCATGGAGAAGTTCTTGTGGATGTATTAGAGCAGTGTTCCACTTGTACGATAAAGTGGGGAAACATTCTTAGCACTCTGCCTACGCTAATTGTCCTTTTTCACTGTGATGATCTAAGCACAACTAGTGGAATCATTCAAAACAGCTGCAGTCCACACTAGCAGGATCTTACTCCACAGATCCAAGCCTCCAGTCAGAACTCTGATCTCTGTCCCAGCACTTTCCATTTCCCAAGCAGCAAAACTCAGAGCTGCAGCCTCCCTCAGCAACTCTCCAGGGACATGGTGAATGTCTTCCTTCCCCAGCTTACAGGGAATGGATGTGGAACAGAGCACGTCCTGAACAAACAAACACAGTCAGCGCTTTGGGCAGTGGAGCCAAGCAACCCACAGGCTTTTAAGCTTGCTCCTGAGATGCTAAGAACTACCCAGGACACTAACGATAGACTGGACAGGCTGCCCAGGGAAGCTGGTGGAGTCACCATCCTTGTAGGTGTTCAAGAAATGTGTAGATGTGGCACAGAGGGACAAAGTTAGTGGGCATGGTGTTGATGGCCTGGACAGATGATCTTAGAGGTGATTCTGTGATTCTGTGATACATTCATATATTTTAATGGCCTGTACAGTGTCTGGCACAAGTCCAGGCTCCTAGGGAAAAGCGTGAGATGGTTTGGAGAACAGCACAAATCACAGACCATTTTCATAAGCCAGTATGTACATATTCTGGGAAGGAAAGAAGTTCAGCCATAAACATCAGTCAAGTCTTGGTATGCTACTTGCTCTCTGAGCCCTCATCTACTTTATTAGCCTAGACTCAGTCTCGTACATCTCTACTTTTCTTGGTAGCTCTGAACACATCAGTGCGTGCCACCTCTTTTTGCTTACCTCCTGCCCTCAGAGGCACTTATAAAAGACAAGAGCCTCTGTCTTAGAAACAATAGCACTGTAAGGCAGCACTGCACATTTAGAATTATCTCTTGATTCTTCACTATACTCTCTGAGGTAGATTGATATTAGAGCTGAAACAATAATAAAGGGAAACAACAACAACCCCATAACTCCAACATATTCATGCCTTCTTTGTATTTCCTGTCAGTCAGACAAGTTTGTACAGGAGGCACAGTTGCTGAAATAACAAATTTTAACCAACAATGACAAATATTCAAACAAGGCAAGCTTCAAATTAATGTTCTAAACACACTATAGGCCCATAAAATTATATTAATAGTTAATAGAATATATTAATTACATTAATATATTAATAAAATATTAAAAAGTATTTGGTGAATAATTTGGAATAACAAATACATTTGAAAAAAATGCAGTCGATGTGCAGACTCTCTGCAAGCACAGACAGGCAACACCCGCTAATAAAGACCTGCCATGAATTATTCACCCAAACCTACCAAACACTATTATCTCCAGTTTGCAGATGATGAAAGAGACACAGAGTGCCAAATACTGATCTCAGTTACACTGGTGTGTAAACTGCCTCTGAAGGACTGAGTCCTAACTTACGACAGAGAAAACGAGAGCAAGGGGCTGCAGAAGTTAATACTTCCACTTTCTTTGCTTAATTCTCCATAAAAGAATTTCTCTAGCACTATAGACCAGCAGAAAGTGTGTTCAGGAACCAAATACCAATGCCTTCAGAGCCCAGCACTTCCCAAGGAGCGGCCCCAGCCTATGCTGAACAACGATCATAGAATAGCAGAATCACAGAATTGTTAAGGTTGGAAAAGACCCCCAAGGTCATCTAGTCCTACCAACAATCCACCACCACTACAGCCATTAACCATGTCTGTAAAAACATTCAGATATGTGAGACCATCCTACCTGGCATCGAGCTGCTCCTGACCACACGAAGCCAAGAAAAGAACCCCAGCAATGCAAAGAGAAGTATCTCATGCTGCACAGCTGTCACCACGGTTTTCCACAGCCACCCTGCAGACCTTGCAGCTTGTTGATAGGTATCTGGGGACTCAGAGGTGCTTCTTGACTGCCAGATTCCAAATTTTACACAACCCATCAGAAAGCAAAGAATTGTCCATTTCTGGACTGTAACTATCGTTCATAACCATCACAGAGGAGCCGCAGGACAGACACAAGCAATGTTTATGTCACAGAGATGCAGAAGATGTCACAGCTTCCAAACAGTCATACTGCAGCATTTTATCAGAGCAGATTGTCAACTGATCACAACTGATGCTTTTTTAAAGCAGCACTGCTTTACTATCAGATCATTTTGAGATAAATGCATGCAAGATGTTACAGGACATTGTGTAGTAG